CAAAATGCAAAGGCAGGCGCGAGTTCACGTGACTGCCAGGTGCAGGGTGGGTCCCCGCTCTTGACCAGCTGTGACAGCTATAGTGTTTATTATAGATTTTTATTTAATTTTTCCTTAAAATTATATAGCTTAGATAGCCTATCTAGCTCGCGAGAGGCACTTATAAAGGCGTATAATTTATTATTATTATTATTATATTGAAATAAATTTATGAAATAAGAAAATGTAACAATAGTAAGATAGATTAGGTAGGGAGAGAAGGTATGGGTAGTATATTCACAAAACTCAAACTTACTTCTCCCTCTATAGGTAGAAGTAAGTATATTATACCTAAAGCGCTCGGAATATCCGGAGGTTAGGTGTAATACTAATGAATCGGGTACGCATCTTTGATGCTGACATGGGGGTACGCCATAGCATCCGAGGCCTCCGTGATTCCTTGTGACTGCACCGCTGACTTCCTTCTGCCACGGTGTTACAGAAAATAAAAAGAAAAACAGAAAGAGTAAGGAAGTTAGCTCCTTCCTATGTATAAATAAAGTAATATAGCGTACGTAGCTTGAAAACGTATTTAATTTAAAGTCCTAAATATAGAGAAGGTATAATTACTATTGTGAGGCCTGCCGGAGATAAAAAATATGAGAGCTGTGAGATTCGAACTCACGCGGGTTGCCCCACCAGGAAGATCTGTTAAGCTTACATGGGACAAGCCCCACCTTAACCTGGCGCCTTAACCGCTCGGCCAAACTCCCTCATTGGTTGATAGCAGAGAGTATTTTTTATTTTCCATACTCCTGAAAATATCCCTGTCGGTAATAGACCATTAGGAGAGAACCTGTAACTTTTCGCTATTCACATATCTATTCGAATTAATCAAAGTCTCACCGGGCTTTATAACGTCTATATGAGGTTTTCTATACATCATATAATTATGAAAGCCGTCGATCCAGTGTTGGGGCGACAGTCTATGGTCTGCGACTCTGCCACCTGTCCGGCGAAAAAAGGCTGACACATCTGTCCAGTCAACAACTGGCCGACCAATGGAATTAGTTTGACTATCGGTGCTTGCACGTGGCTAGTTGCTTGCGTGGTCTAGAGTTGGAAGGTACCTGAGTAATTATGGCAGACCAAGTGGAAAGACGCGATCGTGCCTTCCACGACAGACTGGATGCTCTGTGAAGGTACGGACGACCGCTGCCTGCCCACACACATGATACTTTCTTATGGCTTGCACTTGATATCAAGAAAGGTGTGGCACCAGAAACCGACTCAGAGACTTTCATTCCGTTGTGTATTTTCATGGCAGATTGTCAACAGTCTGTCGACGTGTGAGAGTAAACTTGCTACAGCAAGCTATACGTCACACGCAGACCTCGAGTAAGACCAACATATACGTTGTCAAAGACCATCCTATTCTAAATATCCCCACATGTGATCTATACATGTATTCTATCTCCGCGGTCGATACCGTGCGTTTGTATGCTATTAGTGTCCACATATAGGAGAGAATAACCGACAATGGCAGCGAATCAGTACCACTTATGTGAAGAGCCGACAGCTTGTATTATGGTATAGATAAGGATCGGGACTAGAACACTATATTGGACCGCAAGCTGCTTATAACATCGGTCTTGGCCCAAATGATACCTTCATCATTGACTGGGAAGTAACTATACTCAGTTTTCCACATCGAAATCATGGCGATCGGGAAAGAGCACATTGTTGGCCATGTCCACAACGTCGGCTTCGATCGCCGACGCGATATCGTCCTCATCCAATGGCATGAATCCCATTGCCCGAAGCCCAGCCTCACCCCCAGCATCGCACACGTCTTGCACGCCTGCCCGACCCATATGAGCTCTCTCGTCTCTGCCGTCCAGCTTCGCAAAGTCAGGCCCACGGTGTCCAAGCAAGAACGTCTTTCGTTGGCGCGCCAGGTAAAGGGCATTCCCGTGCGTGAGCGGGCAGGCAGGCAAAAACATAGCGGTTGCATTCGAGGCAGCGTCGGGGGGCGCAATGATGGCATCAGGATGCCATATTAGGTAGTCTCCCGGCCGCAAGGGTGGATGCGGAATCAAAGTCTGTGACAGCTGCAAATGCGGGTGTAGTGCGTGGGTAACTTCTTGCCGTGCAGCCTGACCGGCGCCTGGTAGTTCGGCACAAGCTGCTGGCGCAAGGATCCAGTTCTCGGCAGAGAGGAAGTCCGAGCTGCTGGGCGTGGCCACCACTGGACTGAAGAATGGCCGCAGCAGGACGTAGGCTGTAGCAGCTTGCAAGAGGGGACAGAATCTGAAGAAGGCCACCTCTGATGCCTTCGTCTCCAGGCAGAGCAAGCCCTGAAACATGCGAAACACGGTACAGGCAGTGTCGTACCCGCGTGATTCGGACGTTGCTGCCAGCCGCTTCTGAGGATCCCAGGGATCATATCGCTCCCAGTCACCACTCCAAACGTGTGCGTAGGATGAGCCAATGTGCTGCTCCCAGCGTTCCAGGCTTGGTCCATCGATATGAGCGGTCTGATGAAGTGTAGCAGTTGTGGCATCTCCCCTGTGCAGCCTGTCAGCGTACACAACGGGGAAGTTGGTGGTGAGTGGCGGTTTCGGCTTCGGGCCGGTCCAGGCGCGCATGATGGCTTGTTGCACCGCCAACACGCCCGGGCTGACTCGAGCTCGAGTTTGGGCTGGAGACCAAAACACATTCTGTAGCTGCGGTCCGCAAACCGAGGTTCCTATGGCTTCATTCCTGCTGTGGGCGAAGTATTGCTCGGTCTCCCGCATCCAGGTAGAGAGAACCTCGCCGGCCACCACGTTCCTGACCACTCCAACACCACGCTGCTTGAGCCCCGCGACGAATTTTCGGGTAGTGCAGTCATTGGCGATATCATCGAAGCTGATCGTAGGTATAGCATTCGAGCCTTCTCTAGTGAGGAGGTCAACCTCGGTGCGGAGTCGGCACAATAGCCTATGCCAGGATTTGCAGATTGCTTCCTCATGTCCCTCAACTAGACGCTGCTTGATTTCAGCGAAGTATGGTGGATATCTTTGTGGCTTGGATGCTTGAGACATCCCCAGTCAGATCAGGGCTGTGGTCTGCGAAGGAGCCGAGAGCTTCGGGTGCGTTGTGCTGTGTTCTTTACAATGATGGGTATCGAGGTGGCTTTGATGCATCGACACAAACGTCTGTGCTATGCCGAATCTGAGCAAGTCTCGAAAGCAACGAACGGTACGACCATTGAATTTCCTACGCGTCGAAAATACAGCTGGTCGGCGGCGGTAAAGGGACTGCGATGGCTCTTCGTGTGTTGATGTCCCTTTTCAGACTTTTCGCCTGCGGTAGCTGGGTTTATCACCGAATCCGCGCGTCATATGCTTGATATAAGCAGTCCTACCAAGTGGAAACCAGGTGGAAATCCATCGGAGCCTGCATCCTGTTGGAAGGCGGAGTCTTGCTGCTTGATCTTGAACCAACTGCCCCGGGGCCCAGGGCTGGTGTGGATGACGTTGGTTTGGTATCGCATCTCGGCACACTCTGACACGGCACAACCGCAGCGGGCGAAACGTACTGGCGCAGGCCGTAGAAACGCGCTTACTGAGGCGCGCAACATCCTAAAAATAAGCCTGGGGAGCTTGACGCGAGCGGAAAACGCAGCGGGAAACGCCAGGCGCTGTGAATTTGGCCGAAGCTCGTGAAATCCACCAGGGTCTTGCAGGGGAGGGAGACGCCAGCAATGCGGTTCATCGGACCGCACGTCCGTCCTGGGGTGAAGCTCATCACAATCCGAAGGAAGAGCCGGTTGGCCGCTTCACGCCGGTTGCCTGCTCGGCTCGTTCGGATGCTGCAGGCAAATCATTGCGAAGGCACCTTTGGTGCATGCACACGTGGCTGGGGGGTGGGGGGGCTGCTATATATGTACATGTGGCTAAGCTTTCCTTCGCTTTGACCGCCTGGGCGGCTCTGCCTGGGCCTTTGGCTGGTCGAGCTCAGGCGTCTTCTTGCGCTTCACGATATTTGTCGGAGCCCTCGCGGTCTTGCTACTGCTTGTCTTCGAAAAGACCACGTCGGCTGACAGTCTCATTGCGACAAAGGCAGCCTTTTCGACCTCCGTCGTCGATACCTTGATTCTTGCCGCTAGTTCGCGCGCTTGGGTCAACAGCTGTTGATATTCCTTGGCGTTGTACTTAATGGGACTCTTCATGCCGCCGCAGCATAACCAAAAGTACGCTTCGTCGGAGAAGAATATCACCCGGTCTGGGTCGTGGACCGACAGAAGCAGGGACGCCGTCGCGGGACCGACTCCTCTGAGCTTCGACAATGCATCAACAGCTGCTGCTGCGTCTCCATCCTCTCGATACCCACCAATGGCGTCCCGGATGCTGTTTCTCACAGTCACCGGGTCGTTGGAAGAAACCAAGCTCATGAGCGTCGGACGGAATTTGCCATGACGTCTGCAAACATTGTTAGTGTGTTGGCCCAACCTGCAGTCGTAGGATATGCTGGAGCCTGGTGGTATGTAGTTGATAGTGATACCGATGTCGTAGTGCATGCGCGGAAGCGAGCCGTGGCAGCCAAACGCACGCTCCTGCATGCAGGACGCGAGTGCGGCAGCCGTTGACAAGGACCCATAGGCCAGGGTTGCTCACCGCACTCGCAGGAAAAACAAGAGTAGCAGAGAATGCCATGATCGGAAGAATAAGTGGCAGTGGTCAATTTTCAAGAGAATGGCGAGCAGCCAGTCACATACAATTTCCACTCAACGAGCGTCTTCACAGCTTCTAGGTCCATATCTCGCACGGACTCTCCTGCCGAGAAGAGACGGGGAGCCTTGTCGTATCGATATGCATCGAGCTCGCTTAGTGGTCGTTGTCCATCTTTGGCTAAGGAATCGTGAGCAGTCCATGACCCGGGGTTGGCAGCTTCGACGTGAAACGCATTAGAGGCCCGACGTACCGGTCTTGAGAGCTCCTATGCACTCCAGGGCTTGGGGATACGAGTCCACGAGCTCTTCAAACTGCTCCTTGCTCAATACATCGACTGCGGTCATCGTATCGCTGAGGAGACACAAGGTTCGTACATGCGATTGCGTATGTGGGAGGGGCAGCATCTGCATAGGTCAGGTAGTAGTAGCAAGCGGAGCGCGCGTGTGTTACAGCAAGCGCGTCGCGTCGGCGACCTATTAAGTGGGTCGCCGATGTGACAGCGGCTCGAACTCCAAAACTCGTCGTCCGTGTGCAATCAATACTCGTCTAGTGACTTGTAACAGCGAATTGCATCGAAGAGCTATAATATTCTGCTTGCTCCATTACCTAATTGTTCCCTCAGTTCACTCCTTCACCGAATTACGGGGATAGAACAACGGGTGCGGCCGTAGTTTTTTCGCAGTGGAAAACCTCACCCGTGGCGCCGTATCTAAGTTACCCTATAGGTCTTTACTAGCAAGCTAGATATACCTTTAATCATGGCCTAGTTATACTAATTTAAAAAGTTGTAGAATACTATTCATATACTACTTTTATATGCTCAGATAGTCTCGAATATAGTTAAGGGGATATTCAAATCATTAGTAATATACATGTCAAATACACAAAGGTTTATTGAATCAAATTTTAAGAAACGATACTATTAAATAAAGTCCAAGTACTCTTACTAAAGCTACTAATAATATAAATTCCTGCCATTCTTCTAAACAGTATAGAAATAAACATTGATTTGAAAGGAATCATATAAAATGTGAAATGAGGGCAAAAATGAGAGCTGTGAGATTCGAACTCACGCGGGTTGCCCCACCAGGAGGATATGTTAAGCTAACCGAGGACGATCACTCGTCTTCACCTTAACCTGGCGCCTTAACCGCTCGGCCAAACTCCCTAACTATTCAATATCCAGAAGATTTGTATTTCAATCTATATATTTAAAATATTTCCAGGAGAATCGTTGCCTTAATGTCGAAATGATAGATTTTCTAAAGTTAGTAGTCCCTTTGCGGTAATGGGTAGGCCGGCAAGTCCGCCGCCCGAGAGAAAAAACTTTCACGCGAATGCTATATACTATGTAGCTATTACAATGCTATGGCTTAGTACCTAAGGTGTCATTCAGATATTACTCTAGTAAACGCCAAATGTCTGTATTAATCTGGCCATGCGCCAGCAAGTCTCAGCTACTAAGGCCCTACCAGGATACCCGTTCGCGCACCTGTCCAGACTCCGCACCGCGAACCCAAACGCAACTAACTGCTACGTGATGACTATTCCCTTTCATTGAATACTGAGCCTGTCATTCGCATGGATGTGGCCTCAACACAGTCTCGGCGAACAGTACGTACATGTACTAGACGTAACCGAAAAGTGTCAACAGCTCCCTCTAGAAAATACCCTAATTAAATTCGCTTTGACAAGACGCCACGAAGAGATTGAATGCGACTGTATAGGTGTGAGTTTCTTAGACAACAACAAATTCCCCTATTGCCTTCATATATTCCATTCGCTGCGATAGGACGTTAAGAAGAGAGTAACTGTAGCTATATAAGCGTGAGTTCTTTTGAAAGTAACAAACCCCCCTATTGGCCTAATATTATATTTAAAGCTAAGGCCAATGACATGGATCTAAGGATAGATCACAGAGGAAGGCATTCATAACGTATCGCTCCGTAAATTAAGTGATTATGCTGCATATTTAGCGACTGCATTGACTGGTCCTAATTGGTGCTTTAATGATCTCACATTGCCTAGGTACTTCGCGGGGCGATGTAGGTATTACTCTCACTCTGTCACGAGGGGCGTCCATGTCGTTAACGGGGCCCAATAGCGCCTTCATTAGTTAGGAGCAGATAGGTATATATAGAGTAGAGTAATCCAGAGTTTAATCGTAGCGATAGGTTTTGTCAACTTGAGGCAAGTGCGGTCCGTCGAGCTCATCCACCTGCCGAAACTAATATGTCTAGGCTGAAATAAGGTTGTGTCAACCTGGGATAGTAGGGCTGATTGGCTTAGGAACGAATCCTCTTATCTAGCTGGATTGTCACTCGGAAGCACTTTCGCGAGCAGTATCGAGAGACGGCTCTTTTTCGTCGCCAAGAGCTTGTGATGTGGTAAGTGCCGCATTGTGTCGAGGGTGGGATCACCTTTCTACTTGCGTGCGCGCTAAGTATGCACTTAATTAGTTGCTATAATACTAGCCAGAGTCACCATGGTACCATTGAATTTGATTAAACCGCACTTGTCTTTCAATATACCCTGCACGCCTATACTCAATACCTCGGCGACAAGCTCGCAGCATTGGACAGAGTCTGACGCCTTCCAATGCCGAGTGCAGCTGTAGACACAGCTGATTCTCGGGATTAAGTACCTGCCTTCAAATGTAATGACATACTAACGAAGCCTAAACCTGATTACGTTGCGTAGCTCGTCTTCGAACAATAACCTATGCCCAAAAACAACCAACGCACAACTGTACGGATAGAACGAAACACATTACAATATATAAGTCAATGTTATTTTTATTTAATTGGAAAGTCTCGCCTACTAGCTTAACTAACCCGGCATGTCAGAAGGATAGGATCTTATAACAGGGTTACAGTTTGAGGTGAGTGGCAGCCTCTTAGTCTCGACGACGATGAGCATGACTGATGCGTGTAGTAGAAATTATATCCTTCATTTTCTGACTTGAATCTGCTGTTCCGCTGCGACCGGTTCGATGCGTTGTATGCGACGCAACCAGTTGCCTTGTGTATGCTGCTTATCCCGCTGTTACTCATTCTTACTGGTCACGACTACAAGAGCGAATTGATTGCTTCTCTTATTTCCCCGTTGCATGAAAGATCACTCCACTACAATAAATAAAAAACTTGAACATGCTTGATCAGACCGCATGACACCTCTCATTTGTGATGTAATCTTGGTCGAAGGATCGCGTCTAGAGACGCCGAGGCGCTCGCAATACATAGGGCTATCGTGGCCAGGCAGAGATATCATTATAGTTTGGAAGCGTCGATGGAATGTACACATGGAAACATTCTGCGACGTTAGCCCGTTGTGAAGCATCTTTCAAAGGTAGACATAAGTACAGCTGACATTCACTCTCTTCAATCGACTGACATTTCCACGGCAACTTTCTATACATGTACCTCGGCCATGACAATCACTATCCTCGAGGCGCCCGAAGTGATTGAGTGGTGTTTTCATAGCTCCCGCATCTCTGATACGATTTCTTCGAAATTTTGTAGGCAAATAAATTAAAATACGGACACTGGGAACATCAACCAATGAGGGAGTTTGGCCGAGCGGTTAAGGCGCCAGGTTAAGGTGAAGACGAGTGATCGTCCTCGGTTAGCTTAACATATCCTCCTGGTGGGGCAACCCGCGTGAGTTCGAATCTCACAGCTCTCAGTTTTAAATCTTTATTTTTGTTCTAGATACATTCTTCTTGAGTTATCCGTAAGTATTGCCCGATCTTAGCACTACCCTCGGTAAGGATATTATTTACCAAGTTGTTCGAATATAGTATATTAAGCTTATAGAGAACGATTTCTCGCCGGGATATTATATATCTGTTTTCTATTAACCGCTGTCCGCGCATTAGACCTATGCCTAGGTCGAAAACAATACATGCTGCTTATTACGGTTCCACTAGTAAGCTAGCGGCTAGGTAAAGAATCTAGACCGGATCACCGAAGCACGTCACGTATACCTAGGAAAATGCATGGGCCCCGTAGCGTGCCACGAAGTATGCAGCCCGTAAACTCTACTTTCCCCTTTCCTTTCTACTTTATCGTTAGATAAACTCAATCTAAGCTACCAAGTTGTTCCAACAGGGCTTAGCCTATAACACTGCTAGTTTGCTCGAACGATACTTATTACTTAGTACTACCGGAAATACTAGTAATGTAATACAGAGAGAGAGTCTAAGTAGATATTTATTTATAGGAAGTTGATCTTATCGATATTGAGATTGCCCGGGTCGTAGATAATACCTGTGTGTTTTAGGTCGCAGTGATTGTGCGGAGATAGAGAGAGAGTGTGTGTTCGAAAGTATTATTTGTTAGGCATGTTTACCTTGCTTGTGCTACCTACATACTCTACCCATGACGCCCGAAAGGCGTCATCTTTACGCTATCGCGCTCTTCTAGCATGCTCCTAGACGCCTATCTTATTGACGTTAAGACATAAAGGCTAGGAGGCATTACCAAGCATAACACATCCGTTATTGAGCATACCCGGTGGAGTAAAGTATGGCGGACGGACGCTGTGACGTAGAGGCTCCTCACTACGTAGCTGAGTTTAGCGACGTTCGTAGGCCGCGGCTACTTATATTGTCTTCATTATTTTAGACGCTACGAAAAACCGTATGTGAGCGAAAAAAGCTCTAGCCGAACAATACTCTAACCGAATCATATTCTAATACCCGTAGGTTAGCGATAGCCTTAAACTTAAAAGCTTGCCGCTATTAGGCGTTATTTAGGCGAAGCTACGAAGCAGTGGATAAACGGCTACACAAGGGCTGCTGCCAGCGCTACGGAGCACTGCACTTGGCCCCCACTGGGTATGCTCAATAATAGATGTGGTATGCTTGATAATATCTCCCCTCGAAAAAGTCGCTTGCGCTGGTGTGTCTAGTGCGATCGGTACTACTTGTTCTGCTCAATCTATTGCTATTGTGCAGCTGTAGCCTCTCGAGAATCAGCAAGTTATCCGTGTCAAAAAAAAGTTAAAAATTCACCAAGCTAAATGGCTACTGGCCAACCCTGCCTCAACTTTTCTGAAAGCAAGTCCGTCTGTCCATGCGAAAACTCCAGAACCCCTCCTCGCTGCTCCCGAAAATGCCTTCCGCCCAAGAACGAAAATGTAAACGCCAAGCAAGCATGCAATCAGGAGAACTATCAATGTGTCAGTTCAATGTCCGTGCGGCCATGATGCGCGTCTTACCTTCCACCGCTTGCCGCAGTTCATACACTCGCAGAACGTTGTCATCGGCTCATCCGCACTGCGCGTCTGCGCTTGCGAGTAGCTGACCATCTTCTTCTTACAACGCCCGCACTCCAAGCTGTCGCTGATGGACTTCTTGGCCATTGGCACCTGCGCCTTCTTCATGTTCTCCTTTTCAAACTCGTCGTCCTCGCGGCGGCGGTCCTCGCTCTTGAGCTCCTCTTCGGACATCTTGACGAATTTCTCGGGCGAGACCTTGCCATGAAGCACGCTGACGCCAAGCTCCGGGTTCGACTTGTTTTTGAGGTTTGCAAACAATGATTTGACCTTCTTCTTGTAGTCGGGCGTCTCGCCCTTGAACTCGATATACGCTGCGTGCTCCACAGCTACGGCCTTGGCCAGAACGTCGGCGGGTGTCTCGAACGACCGATACGCAAGTCCGTTGTAGAGCAGTCCGATGCATTGATTGCGGCCCTTTGACGCAGTTCGATTCAGATCCACGCCGTCCACATCGAATTTTCGCTTCTCGGGGTCGCCTTCGTACTTTTTGGCGTTGCTCGAGGCCGCTGCGCTCGGCGCCGACGTCGTCGAGATCGCAGGAGATGATGCTGGTGCCGGCGAAGCCATCTTGGATGCACCCTTGTTCTTCTTTTCTTGCTCGACGAGCTTCTTCCACTTGCCGACGAGTTCGGCGGCGGCGGCTGCAATCTCCTTGTTCTTGCACGAACGAAGCTTGCCCACCCACACACCCGCGCGTGTAGCCTGTGTCCGTCTCTGTATCAGTTTGCTTGTTTTCCCTCTGTCTCAGCCGCTTGGATCGCACCGCGGCCCCTCTTCACGCGTGAACTCACCCTCAGCATATCTTCTGTAGGTGACGCATCCCTCTTCAGAGTTTCCAGCAGACGCAGCGCGTTCTCCGGAGGTTCGTTGGCTGCCATAGATTTCGTGAGCGCCTTGACGTTGGCGTCGAGTTCGCGCTGGTCCATCATGCCGGGCGCCCGTGCGTCGCTGCGACGTGTTGTACGGCGCTTGTTCTCGATAGTGGAAGGTCGCGAAGATGCGAGATTCTGCAAACAAGCGAGCGACAAAGAGAGCGAGCGCGGCGATGGTGTAAATGCGCCTTGGAATGTCGAAACGGCGGGCGCGCAATGCAGATTACGCAGGTTGTCGAGATGAAAAGCGTGTGAGCGCTCGGCACGTGAGGCTTGATTAGCCGAAGTTGATCCTCTCCAAGTCTTGAGCTAAGGTGACTTTAACCGGTGACGTCGCCAAATCATCCGCTCCGCAGTGGATCAATCACGACGGCACACTTGCAATTTCGGAAAGCCAGGCTTTTCTGTAAGATCACGATACTCCATCAATTGAAAGAACTATGATTGTACCGGCCAAAACGCCATCCCTTCCTGTAGAAGCGCCACGCAACACCTCGACGGTCTCCATGCCTCCTCCCACTTTTTCACCTTGACACGTGAAGTCTCACAGTTGACAGCAGTGTCTCCAGCCATTGTCTGCACTCTGACCAGGCATTTTACCTGGTCTTGGTGCTCTCGTGGTCCTTCTGCAACGCAGCATACTTATCGCTGAGCTCGTCGTAACTCTTGTGCAGCTGCTCGCTCTGCTTCTTCAGATTCTGCAGGTCCTGCTCCTTCTTCTCGAGCTTCTCCTTCAAGCCGGCCAGTTCACCGGGCTTGCCAGCCACAGCGAGCTTCTCACTCTGCTTGGTGTCCTTGTTGGTACCCTCGTAGGACTTGAGGCGGTCCTCGAGGCGCATGACCTCGATGATCATGACGTAGGTGCGGTTGAGGATGAGCGACAGGAACAGGGTGAAGCCGCAGAGATACATGTTGCGCTGAGAGTAGAACTTTCGTGCCTGCACTTCGAGACGCTCATGGCCCATGACGCCGGCGGCACTGTCGGTGTTAGTCTTGCCATAGCCAGGCAGCCCGTGCCGAGAGAGTACGTACGATCCCTTATGGGTCTGCTCCGAGGCAGCCATGAGTTCAATCTGGACACGGTAGACGCGATTCACGCTGTCAATGAACAGAATGAGGATGAATACAAAGGTGATCTTCATCCAGTACTGTATTTTTGCCACGACTGGGTTCTCTGAAATGAAGCTGCGCAAGGTCAGTCGCGTGTTCACCGCGTTCCGAGCGCTCCCAAAACACGTACGTAAAGATCTTGCGCTTGACGCCAAAGGGGAGAGGAACAATCAAGAGCATGAAGAGCGTCATCTCCAGGACAAGGAGGACGAAAACCTTTGGGTTCAGTCAGTAGGCGGTTCGTCGACGGGCACACCATCTGGGCAGCGTACGAGGGTGTAGTAGAGCGTCATCTTGACGGCGGGGCAGCTATCGCGAGCTGCTGGTCGTGGGTGGTATGAGGTGTTTGCAGGACGTTGTGCGGTCGACAGTTTTGATCGGCAAGAAATAGAAGAGGGAACAGAGCGTGTGCGTTGGAAGCTGCGTCTCGATGGGTTTTGTAAAAGCGAAGTCAAGTGTGCACTCAAGACAAGTTGTTGCTGAGCTATCCGTACCCTTGGACAATACGTCATCTGTCCGGGCTGGGAAACAGGTGGGGCGATTGGAGGGGCTGGTGAGTTGTGGCTGATGACGACGCCGGAGAAAAAATGCGGAATGAGTGAGTGAGTGGGCTTTGCATTCCTCCCTCCTCATTCGAAACTCCCGTAGTACTACTCTAAAGATCATGTCATGTCATGCCAAGTGAATTGCTTTCTATTGGAGCGAGATATCGAAACAGATGTCCATATCAGGTCGTCTATGATGCTTTCGAACGTCGGTTGTTGCCCCTACTCCTGCCCTTGACGTTTGACTTTCGCTTCAAAGTCGGCTTCTCGATCTCCCCTGCGTTGTCGTCCTCATCTACGGCTGCATCTGCATCCGCAGTCCTCTTGCGTTTACCAGTCTCGCTGCCAGACGTAGAATCAGCCCCGCCTGCCAAGTTTGATCGCAGTCTGTCAACCGCGGCCAGCATGCGCCGGCTGCCCTGGGTCTTTTGACGAGGCGCGAACGCTTCCCTCGCACCAGTGCCCACGCCCCCGGAAAAGAACCTGGTGATGTTGGCTTGTGTTCCTTCGACGCCTCGCTTGTTCATGTCCTTGATGACGGGGACGAGGACCTCATCAGTGCGCTCCTTGCTCCACCCAATCGTGGCCATGAGAAACTGCCGAAGCCCTTCGAGATCCGGGACTCCCCATTGGAATGGCTCCGTGTTGTCATCGACCTCAGGGTACAGATACGCATCGTAGACTGCCGAGCTCGGGAACCCTGAGGGCAGGAAGAGCTTGGTGCCCTGGGACTTGCGAAACTTCTTCCGAAAGGTAGACGATGCATCCGCCTCCTTTGGTCGCTCCTGGGACTGGACCGACAGCCACCATTCTCGAAAGTGGTCAAGCCCGGACTTGCCCGGGAACTCGGACAAGATTTCCACGGCTGTCACAGGGCCGACGCCGGGCAAACCCTCCGTGTAATCCGAGCCAAGGAGTTGGGCAAGCGAGATAAGTTGCTCGCGGGACAGCGAGAGCTCCTTCTCAAGATCACCGGCAAGGTAGCACTCGACAAACTTGTTCGTGTTGAACATGTTCTTATATACGCGGGTACCCCCAAACAGGAAGATGTCAGAGTCATCCGTGACTATGCCGTCGACAAGGCCGAGGTTGACAAGCGATGCGCATTGGGCTTCAGCTTCCATGGGCGCTGTGATGTATGGTATACCAAACAACCGCAGCAGCGCCTGGCATTCTGTGACCATGACTTGTGTGACCTCGTCCGCATCACGACGATCCTTCTTCTGCTGATTGCGCAGCTGCCGTAACTCCTTTTCGTAGTCTTCCTTGTTCTGCTGCGCCGATTTGTTGTTCAGTTCGCTGGCGAACCGAGCGTGCTCGTCTGCTTCGTCTGCCAGCTGTGCCAGAAGCTCCTCGTCCTCAGGGTCGCTAAACTCGTCGTATTCGACATCTGCAAAGAGGTCGTCGTCATCGTCTGCGGCCGTCGGGGCGGCTGGCGTAGGCTCGGGCGGTGGCGCTGGGTCATCAGCCGGTAGGTTCACGGGGGCATTGCTTTCAAGGACCAGTGATGAAGCAGGCGCAACATCTTCGAAGGTGGGTTCAGGTGAGCCCTGTACGCTACCGCCGTCTGCTTTGGCCGGTGGAGCCTCGACATTCTCAAACTCGGGTTCGGGTGAATCAGAAGCTTGGCGCACTGGTAGCGCTTTGCTACGTTGGACTTCCTCCTTCATCAAGTCCTGCGTTTCCGAGATATGTGTGGCAGAAACGTCGCCATCAGCATCTTCCTCGCGCGGCGTCCCTTGCTTGACTGGAACTTCTTTGGGTTTGAGAGATGGTGGCTGCTCAAGGATCTGCACATCATCACCGCCGTCATCCGACGACGAGCCAATCTCTATAGGGGCTTCGCGCATTCTCCGGTTTCGCAATCTCTCCTCCTCGTCAGCTTCGGCACGGTCTTCAGCATTCATGTCTCTGTCCAGGCCTTGTTGCTTCTTGAGATTTTCCCGAATATCGGATTCATCCGCGAGCCAAGGCGGCAAAGGCGCTGGTGCACTCGCTTCGTCCTTCTCGAAGCCCCCAGCCATGTCATCTTCGTCAACCGTAGGGTCCTCTCGAGCCTCCGAGCGGGGGCGATATCTAACTTCCTCGGTACTTGAGTCTTTCCGATCAGTTGCCGGCTTGCTTCGCGCGAACACGGATGACCGCCAATCGAGCTTTGGAAAAGGCAATGGCCCGTCAAAGGGGTTTTTCTTGTTCGCTACCGCTGGAGTTGGTTGCTGCTTGCGCTTCAAACGCGACTTGGCCAGCACAGCTTGGACATCGTCCTCATCACTGTCACTTTCGTCGTCGTTGTCAGCAGCGACTGGCTTTTGCGGCGCCTCCTCTCTTTGCTTGGAGGTTGTCACTGCAGCACTCGCCCTGTTGTTGACAATGCGCGCGATCACGGATCCTCCGCTTCCTCCAGTTGGCCGGGCAATCTCGGCTGATCGTTGATTCCAAACTGGCGCTTGCTCTTCTGGCTCCTCCTCCTGCTCCTCAGGCTCAAGCCCATCAGCATATGTGTGCCCATGCTGATTCTCAAGGGACATAGCGATGGCTTTAGAAATGTCGTCCTCCTCCTCGGGATGCAGTGGCTCGATGGGCTTATCATCCAAGAGCTTCTGTGTCTCGCCGGTGTTGCCACCCACGAATAGGGAGTCCTCCGCTTCACCAGCCGGCTCGTCGGTGTGAACATCGCGCTGAACAGCCGAGGCCCTGGGTAGCCGATTGATACCCTCGATTGGTACATCCTCAAAGTCATCAACGTCTTCCTCTTCCTCCTCTGCATCTTTTGAGGCGAACTGGATCTGGATTGCGTCGACATCGATTGGCTTGTGTTCCTCGCCAACGTCCTTCTCTTTACTGACAACGCCCAGAGCCCAGCCACCTTCGGCGCCCTCGTTCTTGACCAGGATATATTCGCGATCCTTGTCGCCCGCAATGCGACCATTCTGCCCGAGCGTGAGATCGAGGCCCGTCATGCCGGATTCGCGCATCAGTCGCTGTGTCAGGTTGTTTCTCTCCTGGACACGTTCGATCTGGAAGCGCGAGAATGCCATGCGGTCCGGGAACATCTCATCAAGCTGCTCCTTGCTCAGACCTAAACGAAGTCGGCTTCGAAGCCTAGCGGCGTTGAGAATGTTGTACCTGTCCGGCGGTGGCAGACTCTTGAAGAAGTCGCCGTCAAAATCGATCTTGCTGAAATCGTACAGATTCACATCTTCGCCGTTGTTGAACTGTCGCGCATACTCCTCCAGCTCTTCCACGCTCATGATTCGAGGGTCTTCTGGTCGGCCCATGTTAGCTATGCTGCGGTCCAACTCGGGCAGATGGTATTGATCTTTCTTGTGGAACTTTCGGGACTGCTGTCTCTCCGTCTGGGACATGCCCAGCTCGCCTGCGTACACAACATTGTTCATGTCGGGGAGTTCCTCCTCCCCCTGCGCTGCGTCTTCCCTGGCGGTCGCTTCTTCTGCCCTTTCTCTCTTGCGCTTCTCTGCATCCTCCACAGCAGCCCTCTGCATCTGTACGGCCAGCAGCTTGCCAGCGGTCTTGACGGCATCATCTCTTCGACCCTCCCGCCTACGCGTTCGCGCCTGAATCGTCGCCCTTTTCAGAGCTGGAGCACCGCCATCGAAGACGAAGACGGGCAGTATGCCAAACCACAGCAGCTTGCAGATGCGTCGGAAGAAGCCCACGACATGTGAGTTGCGGAGAGCGTTACCCTCCTTGTCGCGCACAGCTTTCAGGAACTGATAGATCCAGATTGAGGCATCCACCGCGAGCCGCTTTCTGTTGAGGGTGGCAAGATTGGTCGGACGCGCACAGGGCTGCACTACTGTCCAGAGGCCGTTGACACCCATGATGCGCCGTTAGCGTTGCGAGTAGGTACAGCATATGGAGGAGATGGCGCGGCGTCTGCGCGGACTCTCGGCCGTGGAATTAGGTTTCCAGTCGTGGATGTTTCATGGCTTCAGTTTGCCGAGATGGAAAGTTGAATTGTAGTGTGCTTGCGATGGTTCACGTTCGTTGACGTGCACGCGAAGCTTTACGCTCTCCTGCGCCGCAGATCCCTGCAGGCTGTGACGCCATGATGCTCAACCTGACCGATCGGCGCCTGTCGCAACTTGCAGTCCATAGGCGTGTCTCTAGGGTACTCAAAACTCAGCGACTATCAACCTGTCAATCAACCGCATCTGGCACTCCATCGACTCACCCTCGTCAACTCTGATGAGGCCCTCCGCAAGTATCTCGAATCGGTAGACATGGACAGTACAGAGGCGCGACAGTACCTGCAGGGTCTCCTCAACAAGGATCTGCGCATCCACACCACCGACGGTCGCATGTTTCGCGGCACGTTCATGTGCACTGATCCGGTAAGGATTCCTCCTCGCTTTAGCCGCCCAGCCCACAGAAGCCTACTAACAAGTTGAAGGATACAAACATTGTCATCTCCAAGACGCATGAGTATCGACAACCCTCGGCAAGCCAGCGCGCAGCCGCAGCGCAGAACAGCTCGGGCAGCTCAGTGACGCTGGACATGACGTCGCGGTTTCTGGGGCTCGTGGTCGTCCCGGGCGAGCACATTGTCAAGATGGAAGTAGAACAGTTTGCCAGCCAGATGAGACACTCTACAGCGATTGTGTGATTTGACGATGCAACGAAAATATCCCATGATATCATTGTCAAGTACATGTACATAAAAATCATGCCCATCGTATTAGTGAGATACGCCCTGTAGAAAACTCCGCCCGCAGCCGTCCATCCTGTCCTCCCGAGGTATTACTGATTTTGGTTCACATCAAACGCTGGCGAATGCGCTACTTATGCGGCGAGGGGTTCCTGTGTACGACCACGGCTCTCGTCGTGGTGGCCAGCATCACTGTCAAGCCGGTCCTCTTCCTCCTCCTCGCTGTCGACGTCACGGTGGGCCACCCAGGAGCTGCCGTCGTTGATGGGAGCGTCCTGTGTCGAAAGGTCGTGGCCCTCGTTACGAGCAGCAATGTTCGAGCGACGACGCTGGGACAGGGTGCGGGAGCGGGTGGACAGTTTGGAAGAGACCACGGCGTTAGACTCGACCCAGTTGGTCAGGGCGTCCTCACAGTCCTGAATGATGGCCTTGCTGGCCTCGTAGCCGTCGTACGCGGCGCGGGTCTCTCCGGGAGTGACTGGAGTGTCGTCAATGAGCTCCAAGAGGTGCTTTCCGTAGCCGGCAATGATGGCGACCTTCTCGCAGTGCTCACGGAGCGCGTCGAACTGATAGGTGTAGGCAGCCTTGACCTTCTCGCGGGTAATGTTGGACAGCTGCGCCTCAGCGACGAGCGACTCGGCTTCGGCGCGCACAAGCTCCTGCTCGAGAACAACAATCTTGGGCGAGTTGGGCTCCTTGTACTTGAGCTGGGCGATCTGATCGGTGATCTTCTGCTTGCCTGTTTTGCGTGTCAGTCTTTACGTTGGGCCATGTGTAATTGAGCATGCCTGTACTCACGGTCACGGCTGGGCTGGACGGAAGCCTCAATATTGCGGATACTCTTGATGGTCACGCGGTACTGGTCGTAGCGATCGACGTATTGGTCCTCAAGCTCGCCAATCTCGTAGAGCAAGACACCAAGCTTGTCGGTGACGTCGGAAACATCCTCATCACCACCCTCGCCCCACACGGACAGTTGTTGCTAGCTGCGTTAGCTTCGCGCGTCGTAGCAATTGAAGGCGATCCAAACTTACAGCAACCTCCATGCGCTCCTTAGCGACATTCTCCATGCTGCGCATCACGTTCTTCTCCATCTTGACGAGCTGAGCCAGCTTCTTGGCCAGGTCGGGACCGAAGGCTCCACCGGCATTACGACGGAGGGCATGGCCGAAGCTGCCCTTGCCGAAGAGGCGACCGGCCTTGGTGGTCGAAGGAGGAGGAGGGGGATTCTGAGAGAGTCAGCGACCACAGGCGAGCCATACATTGGGCACGCGACGAACCTGGAGCTGCGAGGCAGTAGGCGCTCGACTCTGGCGCATAGAATACGTGCGGTGCATGTTGCTGGTGGTGGGCGTGTCGGTGTGTGCGGGTTGTATCGAGGAAGATCTCGGGCGATCGGCAGGAGGTGTGCGGGTACGGGTATCGAGGTGCAGGAAGCAGGCCAAGGGTTGGGGGGACGCAGGATATGGGAAAGGGGCTGGCAATGGGGTCTTAAGTACGATCCAGGTTGGAATGGGAGAATTGACTGGAGATTTATGGCTGGGATGATGATGCTCGGGAGGGGGGGATCGCCAAGGGGCCCGCTTGCAGCTGCTGCCGCAGCCGGGGTCAGCTACGTCATCCATCCGTGTGTTCTCTAGACATTTGGATTCGGGTGTTTGCACACATGATGACGCTTCTTGTTAGCAGAGTGCGCTAAGGCACGAAGACGTAGGCCGTCGACGGACAAGCGCCATACCATGAGCGTCCAGCGCCCTTAACAAGCAGTGCTCTCCATGTCCCTGTCTTTCCGGCAGATCCGATCGCGCTGACGGGGCACCTGCTCTACTGTACTCCGGAGTCCGTAATGCAATTATGGATTATCGATCGGGGCCCTCTTGGCGAAGGACCGCCTAATTAACTTGCGCACCAGAGGCAAGGGCCGCAGGGCTGGCTAGCGAGATACTGCCTGCGCTGTAAAGACATGTCGACAGTGGGGGTATGGCAATGTAGTGACCTGCACTATCGAATCAGTTAATGGAGTATTGGTTTTGGGCCGACTGATGCCCTGATGATGTGAGTTGCGTAACGGCGTATCCGTCCAAGGCTCCAAGCGGCTAGTACAGTAGCTCCAGAGTCCCTTGGCTAGCTTGAGGTGAGGTGCAGAGCCCGCTGTTCGATCTTGGCACCGCAGCTTCATTGCGCAACAAGCACGGAACTTTGGGTAGCACCAAATCCAACATCCTGCGACTTGTCCCCAAGTTGCGCGCGCAATAGACTTGGCGATGCTTCACTCGCATACTCTGGCCAAAGTCGTTCACGCACGACAACTCATACTCCGTGCTCGTGTGCAATGGTCGTGATACCCTCCGTATCTAACCCACGTCTACTGTACTGTGTATAGGCTAGCCTCCCGAACCGATCTGGCCTCGTTGCCGCTAATAGATGCACGACGGCCCCGCCAATCACCGCAAGCGGCGCGGAATCCAAGTCCGCTCATCTCACCAAAGTTCCAGTCGTGTCACCAATGTAAACACTGCTGTGCGTGCGTCTTCCAAGTCGAGGCTTTCAGACGACGCGCGCATAGCCTCGTGCACACACTGTTCAGCCCAATCGCCCAACGTTCATAAGATGGTATTGCAATTATGGAAGGCGATGATCTACCTGTTGCCACCCGAGAGCCCATAACGCCCCCTTTTACCACGGGCCAGAAGACAGCTGTGTTGGAGCTGAGCAAAACTAGTGTCGCTGATCTCACGAGGGAACTTGAAGACCTGCAAGAGAGAGCTACGCAGGACTTTAATGAAGCTGCAGTCAGAGCTATCCGGAGCACTATCGGACAGGGCGCCAAGCAGGATGCCCCCAAGGCCGATCTTTTTGCAAATTTGCGCCTGAAAAGCCAAGAGCCCCAGCAGCAGAGCATGCAGTGCAGGATCACATTAAAGGTGCTGAACCTTCCATCACGACCCGTCAACACTATATTGACATTTATAGAACCCTTCAAAACCAGCACTGCAGACCTCTCACAGCGTGATTGAAATCACTACCCATAAAGAACGGGCACCCGCCTATGACTACCCCAGCCTCGAGGTCGATAGGCTTATACCTGCTCCGCAGACAGCGAATGCATATCAACCTCACAAGGGCGACATTCTGGACGAAGGGAGACGGAAGCAGTGGAGGAGCCACATACGCGAGTTGCACGAATCTAATATTGCAAGCCTCGAGGGTATTCCCATCAGGAAGAAGCTGAAAATTGTGGTCCACCACGAGAGGCTCCTGCAAGCAGGGCTGTACCTGGAGTCGTGGCTGGAAGAGAACAGCTGTTCCGTCATCCTCGACGCCTTGAGGCATCCAGACAAACAGCAGCCCGAGCTCACCGAGGAGATCCAACACTTGACCGCCAACATCCGGGCGGCCTGGGCCTCGATCTATCATGAAGACGGACAAGTGCGCAACATCCCAATAGAGAAACTGTGCCTCGACGAGGCTCTCAACGCTATTCCACGTGCAGAAGACAGATTTGCCGCCCCCGACGCCAACAGCGTATACAAAAGGCTTGCCTGTGGAATATGTTTCAAGCACGTCTGCGAACATGGCTACTACGCGAATGATAACCAGCGACAGCGCTTCCTGACCCATGACCCCCCGGACCCCACGCTCGACACCAGCAGGACGCCCAAGCCGAACCCCTGGTACACGCGAGGCAAGAAGCGGTTGAGGGGGTTAGCAAGCGATCACGAGCACCAAAAGCCGAATTGGGACCATCCAAAGAGACGCTGGGACAACGTTTGCGGCCTTCGAGGCTGCGACCACGATGGACCCTGCGACGACATATGCCCGTGCGTCAAGGCGGAATTACTCTGCGAAAAGTACTGTCGATGCACAACCGAGTGTTGCGAATGGAAGTTTACGGGCTGCGCATGCCACAGCAGCGGAAAGAATTGTTTTGTCGGCCAGGAGGTGAAAGCACGCCGGCCTCTGCTGAAGAAAGGACGCGCGAAGTCAAAGGTTGACGCATGTATCTGCGTCCAGCTCAACCGCGAGTGCGACCCGGACCTGTGCGGCACATGTGGTGCGAGGGAGGCTGCAGACCCTCTGAGCACCGAACCGGCCCACACGTGCCAGAACGTAACCATGAACAGTGGACAGTCGTGGCGCGTGGCTATCGGCAAAAGTTGCACACACGGATACGGTCTCTTCGCTGCTGAGAAAATACCCAAGCATGCCAGTGTCATCGAGTACACGGGTGAGTTGGTGTCTGGCATCGAGGGCGAGCGCAGAGATGCAGAGCTGCGCGCCCCTTTTGAGGGCATGCGGGCCATGTCGTACATGTTTACCATGATTGGAAATCCCAACAGTATCGGGAAGAGTGTTTGGATTGACGGTGCCAAGTACGGCAACCTCAGTCGCTACATCAACAGCGAATCGCGCGACTCCTCACTGATCAACCTCAAGCCGAAGCATGTCATCATCAATGGCACGATGCGGATCGTGCTCGTGGCGCGCAGAGACATTGCGCCGTGGGAAGAGCTCTTCTTCAACTATGGCTCGCATTTCTTCAAGGGACAGTGTGCTCGAAAGGGGGACAAGAAGAAAGGACCGGGTCGCGTGTATAAAGCTACCGCGGCCAAGGATGTCTCGAGGCCGTCCACTGCCATACCAAACAAAACCAAAGCTCAGGAGCCGGCTCTCAACACACGTGCGAGGACCGCTCAAGCGGCGGTGGCGGGAACCAGAAGGCTTCCTCCGACAGAGGCAGAGCCGAAACTTGCAGAGCGCAAGCCTCCACGCAATGTTGCCATGAGGCATCAAAATGCCCCCAGTAAAAGGGCTAGAACTGGGCCAGCTACTACTTCACGGGCCGAGTCTCCAGCCTATGAGACGGAAATAAGTGATAGTCAGGGGGACGATGGAAGTGTAGACGAAGAGTATGAGGACGAGGACGAGGAAGAAGACGGGATGGACGAGTCCACAGAGCGAGAGAGTTCCAGCGAGACTTCTGGTGAAGCCGAGGGTACAGACAGCGTGGACCAGGGGCCTCGGCAGCTGCGGTCACGTTCAAATCTTGTCCTGCGCAGCAGGGGGCGTCGATTGATGAAGTAATACAGTACATGGCTAGAAGACTTGTAAGATGCTTAGTCTATGACAGCTCCCCCGCGAGGATAGCACATAAGTTACCTAATGCCAATATGTCTGGAAGAGATGCAGTGCCAATATGGAGCAGGAAACCATTAGAGCACGAGTTCAAGTCAGCCCTTCTACTACAAAGGGCCATACGAAGGGTTTTTGCAAAGATACAGATATACATTTCTAGACTAGAAAGGTCTCAAACAAGGACATTGGTGAGCTAACACACCAGTGTCATTGACTCTGTCGAGATCAACAAACAGTACCTATCTCAAGTCAAACATTCTTCGATATGCCGAGCGCTTCAAAGACGTCGGTGGCCTCCTCCTCTTCAAGTCCTAGCTCCTTGATCTGTTTCCAGAATTTGCTGAGGTGCCTTGTACCAGAGTCACATAGTATCGTCACCACCTGACTATCTGCCGGCAGCTTCATGGCGGCCACGACTGCTGCCACGCAGTTCACCGAGCTGCTGCTGCCGACAAAGATGCCGTCCTTCTCGACGAGCCAGCGGGCCATCTTGCACGCCTGCTCATCTGTGACTTTGACGGCGTCATCGACAAGGTCTCTTCCAGCCTCGAAGTTGTCCGTCACACGGTTGATGCCAATTCCTTCCACAATGGAGTCGACCTGCTGCCTCCTTCGGGTCCCCTCACGCTCCGTGGCAGAGTACATCACGCCGTACTTGATCTTATTGAACAGGCCGCTGCCCTGCGGGTCGGCGAGAACGATTTTCACGTTCTGCAAGTTGGCTTCCTCCTTCAGGTAACGCGCAACGCCGGCTATTGTGCCTCCAGTTCCGGCACCGGCGACGAAGGCGTCGACTTCGCCGTCTGTTTGATGGTAGATCTCTGGACCGGTCGAGCGGAAATGGGCCTGCCAATTGGCCGTGGACTCAAACTGATTGGCAAAGAAGCCCTTGCTGCCGTCGTTGTGCCTGCGCTCATGCTCGGCCGCCCTCCTCTTTGCGAGGTTAACAAAATGGTCTGGGCTGGTGATCGGGGCAACTGGTACGCGTTCGACAGTAGCGCCCAGATGGTGCAGCAGATCTGACTTTTCAAAACTCTGGTCGTCTGGCATGCAAATGTGCGCCCTGTATCCCTTGGCTCGTGCCAATGTCGTCAGTGATATACCAGTGCTACCAACAGTCCCTTCGTATATAGTATCGCCTCGATGAGGTGTGAGCAGACGCTGGGCTTCGGCCTCGCGAATCATGTTCAATGCCACACGATCTTTCGGACTGTTGCCTGCGCCATTGAGAAACTCGGCCTTGGCTAAGATTGTGCGCCCCGTTGCCTCCGATAGCGAGTTGATCTTGATCAACGGCGTGTTGCCTATACAGGCCTCGATACCCTCGGATGCGATCTCATCGTGGTGAATGTCGGGATTCGCCTCGTGGTCCTCGAGTTGTACAGGTGGTCCCCAAAAGATGCTGTCTCTACGCGCAACAGAGGCACTGCCTGTACTTGGCGCCCCGGATGAGGCCAGAGGGCCCTTGGCAGACCGGATCTTGCGCTGGTACCGACGCTCGAGGTCAGGGTAGAAGTCTTTGAAGCCAAGCGTGACGAGGATGCCTGCTGTGAAGGCAAATGCTACGGCAGCAGTGCCGTAGGCTTTTGGGTGATCGGTCAAAGCCATGTCAGCTATAGCGATGCATTATTGGTGAACAATTGCGCGCGCACTGCTGAACGCAATTCGACGCGCATAGGAAGAAGAGGTCTAAGATCACCAGAAATATTGAGGCCCAGCTGCTTGGAATTTCTTCGGGATTGATGTCATTAGTTAACTATGTCTTGGAGCTTGAGCTACCCTATACCAACTCCCAGTTGCTTGGGGGAGCGGAAGATTCCAATGCCGATCAGTCGACGCGAGTTCTCACTTGTCTGAATCCGAGCTTTCTCAGAAGCCCTGCACCAATTCGTGGCAGACGTGCCCTCACTCGGTCCTAGGCTCACTGTCGACAATGGACTCGCAATTGGTTGCCCAACTATTTCGGCAGCTTTTCCGCCATCGGTCGGCTGGCTGCCTTCAGAACTCGCGGCCCCGATGCCTTCCCCGAAGGCACCACGACAATCGCGATGCCCTCCAAGCAAGAACGTATGCTGGTCGCGCGCGGCCCTCTAAGGATCGGGGAATGAGGACAAACGAAAGTCGCTGGCAGCAGAGGTCCAACTTTCTGCCCGAGGACCGGTCCGGAGAGTTCGCAAAGTACCCGCAGTTGACGTCCGAGGATCTCAAGCTGCGAAGCCAAAGACCGCGCAAGGCCAAGATGCTAATGCGAGACTTTATAGAAGGTTTGATTTGCTCCCACTCAAGCCATTCGAGTAGCGCTGATGTTCTACTAGACAGCTTATACAACCCCAACTATGGCTATTTCTCGAAGCAAGCAGTCATCTTCAGCCCGGGGGACCCCTTCAACTTCCCAGCGATACGCGACGAGATCGAGTTCTCCGCCGAGCTGGGCCGCCGGTACACAGAGTTCGAAGATTCGCTCGACGAAAGTGAAGGCATCAACGCTACGCGACAGCTATGGCACACCCCGACAGAGCTGTTTCGACCCTACTACGGCGAGGCTATTGCGCGGTACCTCGTTTCGAACTATCGCTTACACACGTATCCCTACGACGACCTGCTCGTCTTCGAAATGGGCGCGGGAAGAGGCACGCTGATGCTCAATGTCCTAGACCACATTCGTGCTGTCGATCCTCAGGTGTATGCCCGGACAAAGTACAACATTATCGAGATTTCGCCTTCACTGGCCAAGATGCAGAATCACCACCTGCTCGAGACGGCCGAATCGCGCGGCCACGCGGAGAAAGTCGAGATTATCAACAAATCCATATTCGACTGGGATCAATATGTGCCTTCGCCATGTTTCTTCCTGGCCATGGAGGTCTTTGACAACTTTTCGCACGACGCGATCCGCTACGACATGGGCACGGACGAGCCCCTGCAAGGGCACGCCTTGGTCGACCAGGACAATGACTTTTACGAGTTCTACCTCCGCCAGCTTGACCCGGTCGCGGCGCGATTCTTCCGCATCCGCCACGCCGCGACGGCAGGGAAGTATCCTCGGCCGTACAGCACGAACCCCATGGTCCGGTACATGGCGGGCAAAATGCCATTCGCGGGCAACCTCTCGCAGCCAGAGTACATTCCCACGCGCCTCATGCAGTTCTTTGATGTGCTGGAAAAGTACTTTCCCGGTCACCGTCTGCTCAGCTCCGACTTTGACAGCTTGCCTCAGGCTATTAAGGGGCTGAATGCGCCGGTTGTCCAGACCAGATTCCAGCGGACCATGGTTCCAGTGTCCACGCCTCTGGTTCGTCTCATGGCAGAAAATGTGGCCAAGAAGATTGCTAACCATTGCAGGTCCATCAAGGCTACTTTGACATCCTCTTCCCCACAGACTTTAACATCACGGAAGCCATCTATCGAGCCATCACTGGCAAGCTGACTCGTGTCATGTCTCATGGCGACTTTATGCAGCGTTGGGCATACTTGGAAGATACCCAGACTCGAAGCGGCGAGAATCCACTGCTGTCACATTACCGCAACGCGAGCGTCCTGGTGACTGTGTGAGGCGCGCCTGTTGTCCACTAGGCCTGGGTACATAGAGGGACGGAGGACATACCCAATGAGACGCGGTGTATCAATAGATGCCATGGTTTTTACTTCATTGCATGGTAGTCTTTCCCTATCCTTGCCTTTCCGAATGCCCTTGCGCAACGTTCCCGTATACATCCAGATAGCTTACAACTTCAACTTCTCACTCAGCCATTTCGTGGCGGTCTCGACACCCTCGTCAATCGCCTCGGGCTTCGTACCCTGGCCCTGCCTTGAGGGCTCCTTGCCTCCTGAACGGCCACCGACGACCTCTGACACGGAGCCCGCCCATTGCTCAGCGGTCACACCTTGTGATGAGAGATGCTGTGTCTTTGTTAGTGACTGTTAGACATGAAACAGTGAACGAAAGACGTACCGAGCCAACGAAAACACCGTGCACGATGGCACCATCCTCCTTCGAGCCACCGAAAAGATAGACCGACTTCTCCTTGTCCTTGCCCTGGTAGTGCTTGACAACCTCTGTCAGAGCCTTGGCGTTTGCTCCGATGGGCAACCTGCCCACGAACCACTTGGCATCCTTGTTGTTCTCAAAGTGCTTGGCCACAGTGTCCAGAGCGGTCTTGACTTCGGCCTTCTGCCTCTTCTTCTGCTCAGCGACGTGCTCCGCGGTGACCTTTTGGAACCGCTTGTTGAGCCTGTCCTTGGTCAAGGTCGAGATGACCAGCTGGCTGAGGGCTTGCGACACCACCTTGATCTGCGCGTCCTTCTCGGGTCCGTAGGGAAGAACTTCGACGGCATCGATGCGCTTCTCAAACTCGACGGCTTCGCGCTGCACAGCGTGCGCAGTCTCGCCGGTGTAGGCGATGATGCGGCGGATGCCCTTGGCGATACCCGACTCTTCAACAATGACGAGATCCTTGATGAGGCCAGTCTTCTCGACGTGGGTGCCACCACAGAACTCGACGCTGTACTGGCGCCACTCTGGCTTCTTGGGCTCGGCGAGCATGGTGTCAATGTCCATGCCGATCGAGACAACACGGACCGGATTGGGGTAGGTCTCGCCAAAGACAGCACGGACACCCTCAATCTCGCGGGCCTGCTCGAGATCAACATCCTTGGAGTAGATCTGTTGGTCCTTGCGAATGTCCTCGTTGGACATTTTCTCAATCTTCTCCAATTCCTCAATCTTGACCTGCGCCTTGTGTGAGAAATCAAAGCGGAGCTTCTCGTGATCCACGAGAGAGCCCTTCTGGTTGATATCGTCACCGAGGACCTCACGGAGGGAGTGGTTCAGTACGTGAGTGCCGCTGTGGTTGTTGCGGATGGGGGCGCGACGCAGCTCCTCGTACTCGCAGATGACCTCCTCGCCTTGTGAAAGGGCACCGTACTCGACGTAGCCACAGTGGAGGATATAACCACCGTAGTTCTGAACGTCCAGCACCTTGAACTCGGTGACACCGTCGATCACGAGGCGTCCAGTATCGGCCACTTGACCACCAGACTCAGCGTAAAAGTTGGTCTTGTCCATGACCAGGCCGAGGGGGGTCTTCTCGGCAACATCCTTCGTTGACTTGAGGAAGTTGTTGCCATCGAAGATTTGCAGAACCTTGGCCTTCACGTCTCCCTTGATAAACTTGGGCTCGTCATCTGTCCGGGCCACCTTCAACTGCGAGTCGAGCTCAGAAATGCGGTGCACATCGAGCTTGGGGAATTCCTGCACGGACTCCTTAACAACCTTGCTGGCTTCCTTGGCCTTCTGCTTGGCAGCCTCCACCTCAGTCTCGTCAATATCCAAGCCGCGCTCCTCAGCCATCAGTTTCGTGAGATCGACAGGGAAGCCAAACGTGTCGTACAGCCTCCATACGAGGTCGCCGGCGAGCTTCTGGGACCCCGCCTTGGCCTCGGCAGCAGCATATTTCTCAAACTGCACCTCTCCACGATCCAGCGTGCGAGCGAAAGCATCCTCTTCCTCATCGAGTATTTCTTTGAGGTCTTGTTGTTTCTTGATCAGCTCGGGGAATTCCTTGCCCTTCTGCTCCACAAGAGCTGGCAGGATGCCTGAGAAGAACTGGCCAATCTCAGCACCAAGATACTTGCGACCGTAGCGGAGACCGCGGCGCAAGACACGGCGCACGACGTAGCCACGTCCGTCGTTGTTGGGAACGGCGCCGTCAACGATGGCAAAGGATAAGGTTCGGATGTGATCCGCAACCACTCGGTAGGCCATGTCAATGCCATCGACATCGTCCTTTTCGTACTTGTCGGTATACGGCCTGGCACCGGTGACTTCTTGGATCTTGGCAAACAGCGGTGTCCAGCAGTCAGTGGCGTAGTTGGAGGGCGCGTCCTGCAGAACGGCCACCAGACGCTCATATCCTAGACCCGTGTCGACGTGCTGGGCTGGTAGGGGCTTCAGACTCTTGTCGGCCTGACGATCGTACTGGATGAAAACGAGGTTCCAAATCTCAATGACCATGGGGTCATCCATGTTCACAAGCGAGGCAGCATCACGTCCACCAATCTTGTCGTAGTGGATCTCGCTGCAAGGACCGCATGGACCCGTCTCGCCCATCTCCCAAAAGTTATCCTTCATGTTGCCGGGCAGGATGCGGCTATCGGGGACACCAATCTTACGCCAGAAGTTCTTGGCCTCATTGTCAGGCTCGAGCCCGAGCTCGGCATTTCCCTCAAAGTATGTTACGTAGAGTCGGGTCGGATCGAGGCCGTAGACGCGGGTCAGGAGATCCCAGGACATTTCGATGATACCCTCCTTGAAATAGTCGCCGAATGACCAGTTGCCCAGCATCTCGAAGAATGTGTGGTGGTAGCTGTCCTTGCCGACATCGTCGAGGTCGTTGTGCTTGCCACCGGCGCGAATGACCTTTTGCGAATCGACGGCACGTTTCAGGTCGGCAAACGGATGGCTCTTTTCGACGGTCCCGAGGAAGATGGGCTTGAACTGGTTCATGCCAGCATTGGTGAAGAGCAGGGAGGGATCGTTGACGGGCACCACGGGACCAGAGGGCACTGCGAAAAAAAAGTCAGTGGAAGCTGATCGGCTTCGGCGTGGAGGGGTCGAGCCATACCAATTGTATGATCTCTCTCATTGAAGAAATCGAAGAAAGTCTTGCGGACTCGCGCCGCAGGCCATTCTGTATCGGCCATCTTGGACGTCGCTGTGAAGAGGCGCTTCTGGGTAGTCGTTGCGTGTATGGCCCGGCGCAGAATCTTGGATGGCAACGGTTGCGATGGTGGTGGTGTTGCTGTTGGACTCCAAGTTCCAGGTCTTTTTGGCGGGGGAGGGGGGATTCGGGTTCGGATTTGCGATAGCGGAGACAAGGACGTGATGGTGACTCCTCCTGCGGCAGATGCCGCCTGTGCAGCGGCTGCAGCTCCTGCCCCAGTGCAGCAGGCAGCTCGGGTCGCTCGAAAATGATGGAAAGTTCGACACGCATCGCTCTTGCCAACTCTGCTGCATCCCCAGCCCGCGACGCGGGTCCGACCCATTCCATGCATCATTCTCCTCTCGCAATCGTCTATCTATAAATCGAACATTGCCGTCTCTCGTCGCACACGCCTTCTCGAGATGACGCTGAGTATGCAAGCGATGAAAAGGAGGGAAGAAAGTTGACCTCTGACTGCTGAAAGATGATGCTGCTGCACGGGTCCGCCATGCAATCTCCCCGGCACCTTGGTGCGCCTTTCGCAACCACTGCGACGCCAACCACCAACGTACCGAATACTTCCACAACCACAAATGAGCCTTCTGCATCGTCGAGTCGCAAGCGTAAAGCCGAATCGCAACCTGATGAACGTCTGGTCAAGCGCCTCGGGCGCCTCAATATCGAGAAGGATGGCTCCAAGCTCTACGTACCGGTCGAGAATCCGACACAGTTCCAGTCGGGATCAGCGCATGTGGAAGAGGCTACCGATCCCATGGCCGTCGACGACTCAAAACACAAAGTCTACATCTACAATCTCGACGACGAACTGTCGTCATCCGACACAGAAAGCGAAGACCGGCTCGTCTTCTTGCCAGACATTGATCGTCATTTACGGCAGAACCGCATACCACCCCATATACTAGCGAACAGCGAGGGCGAGCTCGCGGGCATGCAGATGGTGCTCTACAGCGACCCAAAATCACTCAGCGTCCCCGAGAGCAAGGACAGCGTCCGCAAGGCGATCATCGAGGCACGACAGAGGTTGAGAGATCAGCAAGGGGGCAAGATGGAGGCTACTGACAGCGTACACTCCCCAACGGTGGGCGGCCCCAATACGAATGCTGCGCCGATGCAAACTGACGCGGAGGCCATGGACTTGGATTGACGCCTCGTTGTATGGCTGTTGCGAATTACTGACATTTATGAGCCGGCGTTTGGTACAGACCGCAATATGAGTGTTCCAATGGGACTCATGTATCAAGTGGGATCAATTGCCTTTGAACTCTTTTCGGATTCAATAGAAGGTTTGACTCGCTTCAAAATTGATGTCTTCGTTGGTGCTCATTGTGCCCCCATCTGCTCCGTGTCTTGAAGCCGCAATTAGGCATTATTTGATCAAAACCATTCCGGCTACTCTTCTAAGTCAAATTCCCCTTTGTCAACTAAGTCAACAAACCGCACAGGATCGCAAGATGGGACAAACTCCGACGGCAAATCATGTTAGATCTGCTATGCTGCGAGCCTACATTATTACGGTCAAGAACGTGGTGAAGATGCTCTGCAGCGTAATCGGTCATCTAAACGAATCCAAGATCAGCCGTCCCCAACAAGTATTTGGAAACTTGGGTTAGCATATAAGCAGGCCTTCCAGCATTTCAACGTTCTACTTTGAGAGTATCCCTTTCCATGAAATCCAACATCAAGCAACAGGACAAAAGTGTGATGATACAAGTACCTGTAATCAACCAGCTCTTTTCCCATCTTCAACATGCACACCCTATTCAACGTCAAAGAATCAGAGTGACAGCAATATCTTAGTGCACTTAGCGACATGGATCCACTGAAACAATGTGATGTTGCCATTGTGTTTTACCAAGGTTTGAACTGTGGCGATTATCTAGAGCTCCAATGTGCCAGCATCAACCAGACAAAGACGTCTGTCACCTCTGCCAAACCTGGGTCTTCCTTCATAGTGACAGAGATACATCGGGTCAACAGACCATCTTTCTCGTTCTCAAACAATAGTCAAAAGATGCATTTCAAGGTCTCCAAAACAATCATTTTGTATGTTGTGCCTCGCTTGGGTGTTTGATTAAACAACGCTGAGGGGGTCGAGACCTATTTTTACTGTGTCTATACCACTAACAAACAATTCTTCCCGGTACCTCATGCTCACATGTCACTGCTTCCAACATTGCTGCCGCCGTGACTTTTTCCTTCAGCATAGAACATGATCGCCGTCCATTGGAATCAATCCAAATATCCATTCCTTGTGTAGAATTCGTATGTGTAGAGCAGACTGCATGGACCCCTCGACGAACTTGACTAGATGATGGACCCGCAACCCTAGTTTCGACAGCAGCGAATGTCAAACCTTAGCATGTACCTCGTGAAAGATAGAACAGTATGATGCACTTACAATGAAAGGCATTCTGAATGTCCGATGCGTCTCCCATTAGCTTCGTTCTGATCAATGAACGAATTACCAGGCGGCGGCACCACGTGGAGGAACGGAGACGACTTTGCCACCCGACCCCGAAGGGCCAGACTTTCCGCCATTGAAGACCAGGCGCCCAGCCAGTATCATGAGGCTTCCGCCTGGTTTAATGAGCAAATGCCCGGTATGAGAGAAAGATAGGCTCCCGCCGGATGTGTGATGAGCAAGTGCCCGGTATGAGAGGAAGATAGGCTTCCGCCGGGTGTGTGATGGGCGCTTGGTCAATGAGTGCGGAATCAAGATGGCGCATTGGCAATGGTTGCCTGTAACGCGCGCCTGGCTTCTCCGAGAGACTCCTTGATCCGAGGAAACTTAAGCTTGCCGTTGTCTGGAATGGCCATTCGATCGTTATGGAAGTATGGCAGGTCTTAGGTATTGTCAGTCGCGGTTCTGAGTCAAAGTTCAAGTAGACATGGACTCACCATCAGCCACTCGGGCTCAGCGGCTGTGACAACTTCCAGAGTTTGGCAAACTCCAGTCGAGACAAAGCTGGTCTAGACAATCCACTCTCGCTGCTTTGATGCTATACTTGTCTGGTTGTGGTTATGGTTGTGCAGGTTGAGAACAACATCAAAGTGAGAACAATCTGATGGCCAAAAAAATATTCTTGCCTCAAGGCAAAGAGTGACTCATTGCTTTCTCGGGTAAACAAAAGTGCTGCCTGGTCCGGAACGTTAGTGGCGTCTAAGAGAACAGATGAACAGCACAGTGGAGCGAAGTTGTTGCAAGTTTCCAGGGCGACAGTAACTCTCACTCTTGGGAGCTACTTGGTTAGCAGTTATTCAAGTAACCCTAACGAGGAAGAGAGATTACTCAAAACGCAATGACCTTGTTTGAAAAGCGAGATTGTGCTTGGACCACCGAACATGAAGCTTGCACACGCATCACCTTTGCCTGGATCAGTCAGTCGCTTATACAACTTCACGGTTTTCATATCAAGAAAGAACAGATTGCCAATATTGATCATCACAATACCTCTGATGTTGATTGATCAATGATTTCTTTGGTGCTAGCATGAGGTCAGACAGTCGCCTGTTTATTCAGGCGGGAAGATTTCAACGCCGTCTTTTCGATACATCAGGCCGGTTCATCAAATGCAGCATTGTGGTTATATGTCGCATGTCTAAAGCATGGCCTGCACATTTGTGCTCGTATTAACTGTGACGTAAAAAGGAAGGGGGGCGGCGCTTGCTGCGATTAGCATCCAGACGAGACTTGGTTTAGGGGACTCTCTTGACGCACGAAACAGACCTATTATCAAATCAGGCTGTGTTCGATATCCATTTTTACATTAAAGGGGCACTTGCTATGGGTATTTCTCAGACGGATTGCTTTAGATTCGGTCAACTTGTTCAGCTCGGTGCCAAAGTCAATCCATTTTGCGCCCTCCCCGACCTCGAGTAAGGGCGCCAGATGTGGACCGGTAGCCTCGTGCAGATATTATCGCCAGTTTTTGTGTTTTTTTTTTGTGACAGCTAAGGACTTTGAAGCAGGCTTGTGATATTTTCGTAGCGTTCTCGAACAGCGGGAGCGAAGCCAATAGTACCCCTGAAGTCAATATTGCACGGCAGGGAAAGGTTGTAAGTATCATGGTCAACCAATAGTGGAATTTTCTTCCTTTCAATGTATAGCATTCGATACCTTAAGAGAATCAAAGACCATTGAACAAAGTTGCCGGCAGGTTTGGGCCAAAGTTCAACCACCATGTCGCATTTCCCTAGCCAATCGTGGTTGGCTCTCGTAAAAGCATCATTCCTTCTCATTGTATTCAGTTCATCATGTCGAAATCATGGCGATCGGGGAAGAGCACATTGTTGGTCATTTCCACAACATTATCCTCGTTCCAGAGCATGAGACCCGTTACCCATTGCCCGGCCTCCCATACGTCATGCACTCTCGCCCGGCTCATGTGCGCTCTCTCACCCCTGTCACTCCGGTTGGCAAAGCCGGGCTCAGGGTGCCCAAGTAAGATCTTTCGCTGCCATGTCATGTAGAGAGCGTTGCCCTGCGTGAGCGGGCAACTCAAGAGCATGGCCGTTCCCTCCGAGGAAGAATCAAGGGGCGCGCATCAAGATACAATGAATTAGTCCCCCGCCTGCAGAGGTAAAAGCCGAATCAAAGCCTGCGATAGATACAGGTATCAATATAACGCATCGGTATTTTCCGGTCTTGCAGCCAGTCCGGCACCTGGTATTTTGGGACAAGCTGCTGGTTGCATGAATTCTCAGCAGAGAGGAAGTCCGAGCTGTTGTTCGTGGGCCTCACAAGGGCAAAGGATGCGCTTTTTCAGCACTGCAACGAGTCCATCTGCACTGCAGTCATCAGTGACATCGTTCAACCTTATGTTAAGTATAGAACTTGTGCCTTTCCTATTGATGGGTACTATTTTCCGTGAGCGAGAAATATGGGGTGTCAGCGAGGCAGAACTTGATCGGTAGTCGAATCGAACGACTATTTCTAAACGAGGCTTGAAAGTAACAACCCGACCTTGGGATTGGGCTTTGGCCCGGTATCGTGTTTAATCGGCCGCAGCCGGTGGACGTTGGCCCGGTGTCACTTTGCCATCGCCAGTCGATTTGGGAATACGCATTGCCACTTGCCTTGGGATCCTTCTTGTAGTGCGCCTTGGAGCGATGGATCTTGTCGGACAGGGTCTGGACAGGTTTGCCTCCCAAGATCTTTCGACCCAAGGTCGAGGTAAACACTTCCACATTTCCGTCCTCGTCAGCAAGCTCTAAAGGAGGAAGGTCATACGATAGGCGTGCCTTTGGGAGGCGGCATTTGATAGTCTCTGCGTTCCACCATCTCAGGCCGGACAGCGTGACCATATAGCTGCTAGTCGATAGATTCATCGTACCCACCCTAACCGACGCACACTCCGCGTGGTCTTAGGTGTATCAGAGTGAGCGACCTGGAGGTTGCGGAGCGGGATTCTGTGGCCTCCGAGCCGTTCTCCCACGGGACATAACTCTTCGAAAGATTCTTAACATCTTCGTCAGCCCTATCTAGACCGATGAGGCAACCAGGCTTCCAGATCTCCTTGCCTGGCGTCGAGAGGCTATGTTCGGCGTACTCGTTAGCATACTTAAGGAAGCGGTCCGTATCTCTGAGCGGATTATCGTAGACGAAAACGTCCTTAGGCCGACGTATCTTACGCTCATCTCGCCAACCTTTTTCTTTAGACTCTCGACACAAAGGTAGTGCGCACTAGACTTTCTAACCTTCGGTCTTAAGAGCGGAAACTTGGTCCTCTAGAACAGCCCGGTATTGTGTCTAGCTGTCTTTATCGTCGTCGAGCTCGAGGAACATTTATACAAACAGCTTACCGGCCTTTGGGAGTAGATCGGTCGGGACCTCGAGTTCTTTTCGATCTATTATCACTCTTATCGCGGTAGCTTAGCGAATCCTTTTCGCGGTATGAACAATCAGTGGCTGTATTATATACTAAGTCCTCCCCGGTAGTTACCGGTCAGGATATAGTCGAGCATCTGGTAGTCCCTGCTGAGATATTCCCGCGTGTGTCGCCTCGCGGTGCGCGCAAAAGGTATCGAAATTATCGTCGGGCTTTCTGTCGTCTTTAGGGTCTTTTCCTGTGTAATCTCTCATTATAAGGCTCCATTCCTCGCTATCACCGATGTTAATATTAGCTTAGGGGCTTATGGTGCTGGATCAGGCGTTGATAGATGCTGATCCTTTTAAGTTATTGATTCTTATATAATAAGGGTCATGAGCTTGATGAGCAGTCCTTATAGTTGCGTTGTGTTGCTGGTTTTGAGTGTTTGTGGGTTCAGATTTGAATTGAAGTGAGTTATAGGGTTTGATGAAAATTTGAAACGGGGGCGATGGGAATACCCCAAATTCTGGCCTTCAGTGATTACCTCAGAAAGTGTTATTTAAATTTCAGCTCACTTTGAGATCAACTGATGTGTTGGGATCGCCAGTGGTCTCGAAACGCACAACCAACACAATCAGCACCACGAATATAGAGTTAATACCTAGGGTCATGCGTTTGTCCATACAAAAATAAATTCTGTGCAGAAGTACGCACCAATGTCTGACGTCTTATTATTACTGGGATTTATGAGCCGGCGTTGGTCGACTGACCAGAGTTGGAGTATTCAATAAAAGCACCCGATATGGAACCAACCATTCTTGCCTTTGTTTCAAATAATCAATTGAGGTTCTGGCTCAATTCGCTGTCAAAGTCTCGTCGGTATCACATATAAGCAGCTTAAAGTTGCATATCTTTCTATAGCACTATGTAGTCTCTGGGCCATGTGGTGCTCACAGGCGAACGCAGTTGCGGATGGTCATATTGATCGCGTATTACTCGGGGCTCTGTAGACCACAAACTTTTTCGAGTTATGTATTAGAGCTACTAGTCTTAAGCTGTGCTTCCGAACGGTCTTGACGATCATGATGCCGACAATCATGGCGCGGCATCCTCACGTCCTCAGAGCGGACGCTTCCAACTGGTTCTCAAGCCACTGCCATGTTTTTACAAAGAGGATCAAGACCGCGTTTCCTCTATACTCGTCGGTCCATCTGCTCCTAGAGTGTATAGGTCTGTCCAAACAAAGCCACTCTCCATAGTGTGGAAACGAGTCAATCCGGCGGGTGTGCGCTGGCATCATCGGAACACATCATGGGACGCTCGTAGGTATTTGGGCGTGATGTATACCGTCAAGCGGTGGCCCTACAAATAGAGGAGCTGGAACTGACGTGTCCATCCGGATGGGGCATGCCTCCCGCCTCCGCTTCACGAGTATGGGGTCTTCGTGCTTCCTCACGTATTGCATCGCGGCAATAGCGAGAGCGAGAAGAACAACCGCAATGCCGAGTATTAGGATCGCAGCGTACACGCAGCTGGTATCAGGATCTGGAACGCCTCCCATCGCTGGAAGTTTGCTGCGCTGCCAGCAGGCTCCAGCTTGGAATTTAGGTCTCCTCAAAGCTGTCCGCTGACGCGATGGTCGGACACTGCGACTATCAAGTTCTTTGACATTGTATTCGTGGCATGTCTCGACACTAGAATCGCTCGCCTCGAGATTTTGTAGAAGATGGTGCAACGAGGTGCTGTGATCTTGGGGAAAGATCTAGCTCGCAATCAGCATGACTGGCAAATGCTTCTTGTGAGGGTGCCTCACGGTGAATGCTTCTGGGTGTTTGGTAGGCGTCATTTCGATAGTACTGAAGACTCCTAGTTAATAGATCTTTCTTTAGGAATTCGGATTGGTGTCGTGGGATCCTCAGCGAGCTGCTTCTCAAGCGATGGTAGGGTTTGTTGTGTTCAGGGGCAGGAGTAGGGCAGTGCTGAGTACCGACCTGGTGGTGCTGATGCTAGTAAAAGATGGTGATAGTGCTGTTTGCTTAGTTGAGGAGGAATGCTTTCAAGTGTTCCTAATGCGGGATGGGATGTTTCTCGAAAAAGCGCCTCGTGGAGGACACTCTTCGATAAGGGTAGTCTCGCCCACAGAGAACGAGCAGCAGAACCTTCGGAAAGGACGCATTTGCCGTGAAAACAGCTTCACCCATGTCTGTAAAGATTCGAGCATCTTGCTTAGGTAAGGTAGATACAGGTACCATCTCGGGGAACTTGTCCAGCACTTTGTGCCTTGAAAGTCTGTTTTGTTGAAGGTCGGCCGATGCTGTGGGCTCGTCGCATTACAGACACAAAGACATGCATTTGACCACCCGTGGAAAAGTACCTTTTGTGTACGCCCATCAAGATCTATACTTCAAAGCCCCAAACGCTCAAACGCCTCTTAGTCAACAAAAGCCATGCATCTTGCCGTTCCTCGTCATGCTACAAGCCCATGCCTCCACCAGCCCATCCTGCGAACCCGTTGCCAGGCGCAGGTTGCGCAGGAGGCGGCATTGGTGGAAGCCCCTGCTCTCTCCGCCTCTCGTCCTCGCGCTGCGCGTGCGCTTGTTGTAAACGTTGCCTCCACCACAGCAAGAAGATCAATGCGGTCATCACACCGAGAATCAGGATACTCTCAACGATACCGGCATCGTCATACTCGCCATCGCCGCCATCCATGGTATCGTCAAAGTAATCGTCGTAGTAGCCGTCCTCGTCGTAAATATAGTCATCGCCCTGGTCGATAAAGTGCGCGATCCAATCGGACAGTGACCAGTCTTTGCGTGCGTCTGCAAAAAGTCAGTATGGCTCTTGGCTGGGGAGTGAAGACGGGACGTACTGGGCTCCTCCTGGATGCCATGTATTTCGCCGTGGGTGAGTGTGTTCCAGGCGCTGCGGACTCGGAGCTTGAGCAGACTCAGAGTGACGGGCAGGTAAGCCTCCTTGTTCACCATGAGAGCGTGGTCGTAGTAGCGCTTGGCGAGGTGATAATCTTGCTTCAACCCAACGCCGTGCTCATGCATCCAGCCAAGGTTGTACAGAGCTTGCGCGCTCTGGGAGTGGTCGGAAGCAGACGTGTAGCATTGCACAGCTTTGCTAATGTCCTTCTCTGTGCCAATGCCGTGATAGTAGTAATCTCCCATCTTCACCATGGAGTCAATGTTGGACTGCCTCGATGATCTGGTCCACTGCACCAGGGCGAGTGCCGAGTTGTTCAGTAGTCCACCGTGTGGCTTACTACCGCTGATGCGTTGGCGCAAGTAGTTCACGGCTGGAAGCTGGGTGTTTCCCCAGTCCAGCATGTACGCCACATTGGTTTGAGCTCTCTCGTATCCTTGCTCCGCGGCAAGCAAGTAGCCAAGAAAGGCAGTCTCGTAGTCTCCCGCTTCGTAGGCAACATTGGCGTCCGCCCACGATGATACCAGCGGCTCGGCCTTCTCCGCCACGCTCTTGTAGTAACTGAGAGAAATTGCACAAATCTTCTCGCGTCCTACGCTATGGTGTACCATCTCGGCCAAATGGTAGTTGGCTTCAATGTTGCCGTACCGAGCCGCGAGCTCGAAGTAATTGTTTGCCACTCGCAGGTCCTCCGTTGACCCTTGATCTAGGTGGAGTCGGCCCATCTCGACCTGTGCTGGCGCAAAGTCCTGGTCGGCAGCCACCTTGAGCAGGCTCATCGCTTTCTGTATCCTGACCTTGCCAAGGTAGCCATGCAGGTGCATCAAGCCAAGACCATATTGAGCAAGGGGGTCGCCGTTGGTGATGCCACGTTCAAACCATATTCTCGCCTTGTCGAAATCCTGGGAGACCCCCTCACCACGCAAGTACATGCGCCCGAGATATGCTGCCGCTTTGCATGCAGTCTTTTCGATGCCGGGCTTGTAATTTTCGACGATGCGTCCGTCTCGCTTCCAGTAGCGCGTAGTGACAGCCCAAAAGTATTTTCGCGCCATGTCGAGATTTCTCTCCAAGCCGCGCTGCCCTTCGTAGTAAATTCTACCCAGGTTGAAGGCCGCCTTGTAGTCGCCCTTTTGGGACATGAGGTCCAGGTATTCAATAACATCTCCAATCGCAGCGTTCTGATCTGAGTTGAGGTTCGGCCGGAAGGCGTTGATACCTGCGCTGGATGCGCTTGCGCCTTCGCCATACACGCCACCGTCGTCGTCGGCAATGCGCCATCCTTGTACAACCCAGGTGCGACCTCCCGGCGGCCCTGACCTATACCACTCGATGGCCTTGTCCGCCACGCGCTTGTAGTGAGCAACAGCCTTATCACAACTTTTGATGGCCCCAATTCCAGCAAAATGTCGATACGCCACGGCCATCTCAGACCTCGGGCTGCCTCCCGCCGCTGCGAACGTGTGATGCAGCAAAGCTTTCGCCTGATCAGGCGCAACTACGCCGGCGAGGCCAGTCGAATAGTACACCCCCAGCATGTACTGCGCCGTAGCATTGCCGTACTTCTCGGCGTGTGATTCGTACAGCTGGAAAGCCTTGTTGAGGTCGCGCGGGTGATTGTAGTAGCCAAAGAAGTTCATGTCTGCCAGCAAGTATAGCGCATCGGAGCTATTCGCAGCAACAGCATCTTCAAGAGCCTTGGTCGCCTCTGCCAAAGTGCCGCTAACACCAGTCTGGTGATGGTGGTGATGGCTAGAGGGCGCCGAGGCTGGCCCAGTCGGCAGGGTCTTGAGAACATATTGCAGCGCTGTCGAGAATATGCTCGTATCTTTCGGGCTTTGCATGTTCATTCTCGGAATACTTCGCAGAAGCCTCATGGCTGCGTTGTAGTGGTTGGCGCCTAGTGAATAGTCAGAGTCTGCCAGCACTTTGGTTGGGCGCCGCAAACCGTAGTCGCCATGATGCTGTCCGTCTGGATGGTAGTCAACAGCAGGCTTCACATCCTTTCCGGTCTGCCTGGTGTTCGGCTTCTTGTCCGTGAACGGTAATCCCCAGTTGGCACCCAAGACTGCCGTGGCTTGCAGCAGCACTGCGATGATGGTCAGCAACGGGAGAATGGGGAAGCGTGGCATGCGACCTACCGAGTAGCCATGGTATGAGTTTCGCCATGGCGGACTAAATGCTAGACGGCGGCGCTGCAATAGGACGAAGCTAACGGAAAGAATTAAACATGGCTCACGTTCCCCGGACGATAAGATTGTTGAACCTCAATCTTCAACCCTGTTCTCGCGGGGACCGCCGATGATGGCAAGCTGTCCTAATTGCATCAGCAAGCTGTATGCGCAGGGGTACTTGTGGCTAGTGGAGTGGGTACGTACCGAACGAGAAGACTGGACAGCTGCGCCACATCCCACGCTTGACGCGGTCGTGGATGCTTAACGCGACTAAGGCACGCGACTAAGTGCATCTCAGCCGTCATCACTCAAAAAGCTGGTTTCTTCTGTCAAACATGAAAGGCAGCCCCTGCAACTGACAATTGGTAAATTTGACCAGACCATCAGCCTGCTAAAAAAAAAATCTGTTGATCAAAATACATTTTCCATCTTCCTTCAGAGCTCTCCTCACGCGTCAGGGCCTAGCTCACATCACCAGCCATCGGTTCAACCACTACGACACATCGAGACGCGCGATGTCCAACCTCAAGCGAAAAGCGGGCGGCGCAGCTGAAGGAAACGACTCGAAAAAGCCAAAGGCAAATGGCAGCATCACCTCGTTCTTTGGAGCTCCCAAAGTTGCTGCTCCAAGCACAAACGCAGCAAACGTCCGTGGGCCGTCAAGTCCCAGCTTTGACAAGCAGAAATGGGTGGATAGCCTGAAGCCGGAGCAGCGTGAGCTCTTGAAACTCGAGATTGACACTTTGCATGAGAGCTGGCTGGCCCAGTTGAAAGATGACATTGTCACGAAGGAGTTTCTGGATCTCAAACGGTTCCTGGCGGCCGAGACCAAGGCCAAGAAGAAGTGGTTCCCTCCAGCAGAGGATGTGTACTCCTGGTAAGAAGCCTAAACAATGTCTAGTAGCTCCTCTTACGCCTTCAGGTCCCGTCACACCCCGTTTGACCAGATCAAGGTAGTCATCGTGGGCCAAGATCCCTACCACAACGACAACCAGGCCCATGGCATGGCTTTCTCTGTCCGACCTCCCACGCCCGCTCCGCCCTCGCTGCGCAACATGTACATCGCTCTAAAGAAGGATTACCCTACTTTCACCGACCCACCGAATCGAGGTGGACTGCTGACACCTTGGGCGGACCGGGGTGTTCTATTGCTCAACACTTGTCTGACAGTGAGGGCCCACGAAGCCTTCTCCCACGCGAATCGTGGGTGGGAAAGGCTCACGCAGAAAGTACTCGACCTTGTCGCCAAGAAGAGGACAAGTGGTGTCGTCTTCATAGCGTGGGGCACACCAGCTGGCAAGAGGGTGCAAAAGATTGATCGGAAGAAGCATCTGGTGCTGAATAGCGTGCATCCCAGTCCGTTGAGCGCGTCTAGAGGATTCTTCGACTGCAAGCACTTCAAGTTGGCAAATGAGTGGCTCATATCGCGGTACGGGCCGGACGGTGAGATCGATTGGGCCCTGACGCCCGGCAATACCACCAAGGCGCCGCCCCCGGTCCAGAAAGATGCCGACAAGCAAAACAAGGGATCGGGCGGGTTGGAAGAGGCGGAAATTGAGAGTGGTGATGAAGAGGCGCTGGAAGAGGCCCTCAAGCTGGCGGAAAACAAAATGGAGGAGGCCAAGATGAAAGCCGCCAAAAAGGAGCACGCTGTCGACGGTGGTGTAAAGGAGGATGATAAGTCATCTCCGGTTTGATTTCAAAGGTGTATTCCTCCAGGGCGGACTCTGCAATTGTATTAGGCGTTGCAGGCATCAGATGAGCGTAAACGATTCTTCTTAATCATATCCTTGACTTCTCTTCGGCATCGTCCCAATCTCCTGTGTTCAGCTTCGCCAAGTCAATGTCGTAGTGTTCAGCGACCTTAAGTCGACCCCAGTACGACTCCCTGTCGGACAAAAAGCTGATAGAGACACCAACGCGCCCGTAAGCCAATGCGGTGGGCGTAGGTCTCGTGGCCCGGCTCGTCGTCGCTACTACTCTTCAAAGATATCGTACAGTAGTTGGTGACCAGACAGACACTGAACACGACGATATTATGGGCAAACTTGGACTGCTGCCCGGTGTGAAGAAGAGGAGAAGACCATATCATTGATTGGCGATAGAAGAAGATAGTTATCAAGAAAAGAACAGGAAGGGCGGAGATGATACCCCTGGCGATGTGGGCGGGTTTTGCTTGGCCATTCACAGGTTCCTTGGGACAAACTGCCCTACACGAAACAGAACAAAGCTACCAGGTGAAATATCGAGGACGTCTCTCTAAATCGGACCGAAAATCCGTCCACCGAAATCAAGTACATGATTGCCGCTCACGGTTTCTTCTGTAGGCAGGTACTTTAGCAAGCAAAAGGGCCCTGCGTGGTGTTGTAGGACATATTGTCGCATCTCAGGCTGCGCTAGGCTTGATCGGGAAACGTGTTGACTTTGTCCTCCTTACCTTATGTCCCTTCGGAGTCTGGCAGATTCTGTGACGAGAGGACTGTTGTCGAGCTGAAGTGCTGTATCTATTTTATCTTTACCATACCAGGCACATTGCCGTACTCACTCGACAAAGTCGCTAGCGCCAGTGTGTCTGACTAGACAATAGCACCATCATGAGTAGTGCCAATATTAATCAAGAATTACAGCCTATGAGCGTTACAAAGCCTCAGAGCCGCACAAGGCCGTCAAGAGATCTGTACATTCGCACAAGCGTATGACCATAGCACTAAACCATTGTCGGCTAGATTTTGTTCACCATCGCCAGCGCCTTTGTTGAGTGAGTACGGTAGCCTTGGGTGATCATGGCAGGCAGCCAGCATTGGCCTTCTAGATGATAGACCAATCTGGTTCCTCATTCTGTACATTGCTCACTTCATGATTTTCACTTGCTCAAGAAACAGGCCTCACTCTGTATGTGACTGCATAGCTTCATCGAACGGCAGTTGAAATTAGGAAACATCAGAAGCATGTCGAGCCTCGGGCAGCCGGGCTCGGGGACAAGTAGTTGAACAGGCAGCCCAAGCTTTGGGCCATTGACGCTCGACTGTCTTTCATTATCTCAGGACACCAAATACCAAGCCTAGAAATTGAAAGAAAGATAATGCTCGCGAATTTAGGAAAGAACGCGGTGTGATGCCCCGTGAGTTCAGGACACTAGAATAGCAGCCAACATTGTATTACAGGGCCTCGAACTCGCGTGGCGTCGATGTCTGACAACGATACCCTCACGACCTCATTTGAGCTACCATATTTAGGATACTATCTTCCTCCATCTGTCGACAAGCCTGCCGCGTGCTGGCAAATCACCTAGCCCTTCTCCTTCTTCGCGTCTAAGGACTCCGAAGATGATTGCTGAGCTGCGCTCGGGGTTCATGGCAAACCAGGCGCTGACTGTCGAGAGTGCAAAGATTTGCGACTTCGCTGAAGGACACTTCACTCGACAGGAAGAACGGGCGCCGGAGTCGCCGTGGTGGAGGGCTGACAGATACCTAATATCTTCCAGGTTATCACGCCTCTTCCACATGAGCACCCGAAGAATAGGGGAGGTCATCGCGCATTCGAGCAAAAGGGCACGTACTGAAGGCTGTGCACTCGGAATCTGAAGAGGAAAAAGGCCTTTGTCAGAGAAGAGATGGTATACTAGCCAGCCATCATGTCCATGTACATATACTAGATAGCTGCAGCTGCTGCGATCCGAGCCACAGATATGGACGTGCGATCAGACATGTGCAGCGCCAAGAGCTCCATAATTGAGGGACCAAGTCGTGACGCGCTGGGCGGCGACTGGAGCAGTGGAGACGCTTTCTCGACCGCGTCTCAAACAAAAGGGCTAATGTCGCGACACCTGGCCAAGATGCGTGACGTCGGATCTGAATAGGCTGCAAAGCGTGCCGAGTCTCGAGCAGAGCCAATCAACCAGAAGGCTGCTGGTGACTCTGATAAGGGTCGCTCAGGATGATTACGTCTGGGGAAGGTAGATTGACTTCAGTCGCCCATGCGTCCATATTCAGGACCGTCAAGGTACGTCTGTCTGCTCGGCTGTTAATACTTTGGTATTACCAAGACGGGCCGCCGCCCATCCCAGGAGGCTAGCCCCCAATTTCAGGCTCCATGTCGTGACAGCAGCCGCCGGCACATTAGCGCATTTGTCAATCGCGGCACTGGTTCCAACCTCTCACTTGGCTCGATAAGTAGTCCACGAAAGAGACCAAGAAGGACGATGGTATTGATCGTGAGAGATAGTGTGCCTGTGACTGCCGCAGGGGATCCATGCCTCTGGATCTCAATGCACGCAATGTTGCCGCGTATGCCTTCAGGGAAATTCAAGCTTCAGCTCAGGGTCTTGATGCCGTAATTAATGAAGACGGGGGCGCCTTCCACCAGTGGTCGTGCCCAATTTTAGCCCCCGGTATGTTGTTCCTCGTCCGTCACATCTGAGTGGGTGATAAGTCGGTGCCCCTGACGGATCCCAGCCAGACGGCCCAGACACAGCCCAAGTGCCTGAAGGCCGCTGGACAGGATCTGCTGCCACTCGTGATGCCGCTCGCTCACCTCCATCTCTCCGTTTCGTTTCTTCATTCGCCCTTCTCACCGTTCTTACTCGAGCGCTTCCTCATCATTGGCAGGCATTTGCCCGTCGTCCGTCGAGCCTCACTTGGCTCTTACGTTCTTTCCAACTTCCCACTTCATCATCTTCCTCTTCTGCCTCCATTCTGCGCTCCCCCATCTGCCCCTCCTTTATTTTCGCCCGACTGCAAGAGAGCACCCTGATATTCAATCACTGGTAGTTTTAACGGTTATTATACCTCCTTCTCCTATTGCGCGCGCGATAAGCAGATACCGCTGCAGGCCATATTCATCAATCGTATTCGAACATTTCTATACCAGCTCGAATTTGACTGTGGACCGTCTCCCGCCTCACAAATCAGCTAGCTCGGTTCTGCTACTACCTGGTATCAGGGGGCCCATTGGGAAAAGCAACTCCAGGGCTGCTTGCAATACAGTACGCGCAGCTTCGCCTTGACTTGACACTGGCACTTCGACCTCTCAACGCCTGAATTACCGGTCATACCATCACCATTAACATGCCTGGGCTGTTCTCTCGCCTCAAGGGCAAGGACGCCAAGTCCAAGAAGAAGAACGCTGGCCCTGACCTCGCAGACTCGACTCCTTCGAAGCCTCAGTGGGATGATGCGTGGACGCGAAAGACTGTTGAGCCAGAGGAAATCCACGAACTGGTGCGATGCTGCACAGAGGAGCTCAAGGCCAGAGGTGAGACTGCAGACGCCCCGGAAAATTACTACTCGGACGCTGACAATGGTGTTGCACTGCAGGTCTCGATCTTCCTTTTCTTCTCCTGCCCTTCCGTCCGACTTCCGACCCTAGCGCTGTGCGCACTTTCATACGACACTTCTTCGATCAAAACCACCCGCCCCGAGGCGAGGCATTGCTACAAGAAATCCGGATCGCAGAGCCCATGGTGGGTCCGGTTTGACTATGTGAGAGAGCACTGGTGCTGACCAAACTCGTAGGTTTTATCAGGCGTCGTGAAGTGGTGCTGGAGTCGCATGCAAGGTGGTGTTGTGGGCTGGGACGCCTACGAGCTGTTCAAGGTTGGCGAGTACGGTGTGTTTACCCCTGAGAGTCGGCAAGGCTTGTGCAAGCTGACCACGGGCCAGACTCCAACATGGCTCGCGACTCCTTCAAGACATTTATTCCAATCAGCGTCGAAAATGGCGCGCGACAGCGTATCATCTTCGATTTTTTCGACTTGCTGGCTGCTGTGGCTGCGCACGGCAAGACCAACGGCTTCGGTGGTCGCAAACTGTCGCGCATGGCGGCATGGTGGGCCTTTGAACAAAAGGATACAGGCAATGGCTTTGAAGGAGGCTACAACAGCTGGTTGAGGTACGTTCTTGCGCCGAACGCTGGATGAGATGATGCTAACGGGGACAGTGCTGCCGATGCCACGAGCCACCTGTTCTTCGCCTACCTCAGGTCACTGGCCCCCGAGACAAACCTCACTGGCATATCCATGCTTCCACGGTCACTGCAGAAACTCGTGCAGGAGACCGAGTATCCGCCCATGAAGCCGGACCTGCTCATGTCGAGGACCAACAAAGTCGTCATGATCGTCGAGACAGTCTCGCCCACGCCCTTCTCCCTTCTTCGAAGAGCGAATCATTTTCAGTATCGCGACTCCGATCGAGCTCTTCAGGAGTTCTCCGAATACGAAGACCCGGTTCAAGCGCTGTCCGAGGAGTGCAAACGCGTGCTCAAGGCTGTCTCGGCAGCCAACCAATCCCAAGTATCGAGCGCAAAGCACTCTACCAGCCTGCGAGAGGCATCATGGTCTAGATTCGAAGACATCGGTTTCAGCAGCGCTTTGGAGGAGGACGAAGATGAGGATGACAGCGCTTTGACGAGGAAGCACAAGCAGCGCACCGACGGTCTGCGAACGTCTCCATCATCTGGCAATGTGTTCGACCGGCCTACGACTCCCTCATGGGCGGATTTCCTCTCCTCTGGTTTTGTCGACGACTCCCAGTCGAGACCTAACCTCCTCCTCCCACCTGACAAGGTCCTTCCGCCTCTGGACACTCAATCAAGGCAACGCAGCTCACAATCACACCGCCCCCGACTCGAGTCCGACCAGGACCTTGATCCTGGTGAGTTGGCCAGTATCACATTCCTAGACCTCGATGACGCCTTTTGGTGGGTATGGATGAGCAGCCTGGCACCTGAGGAGACACCGGATCGAAAAGCAGCGTTCGGACGCTGTGCCGTCGTTGAGACCAAGATCACCAGTGGAAGATGGCTAGTCATGGAGGAAATGGTCGCTGGAGCCGCGCCTGAGCCCCAAGAAGGCGCGTACATTGCCGAGAAGAAGGGCCTCTTCAGTTGGACACGTCGGGGCAAGTCTCTCGGTCGCCGCAAATCTACAGGGAAGCAGGCCTTGGACCATGGCGACAAAGGTGGCAACACATTCGGCTCCAGCAAGACCAACATTGGGCCCGACACACATGCAAGGATCCAGGCCAAGGCTGCGCAGTTACGAGCAGCCAGCGACCAGGAAAAGCAGGAGGCTCTGAATGCCCAACGCCGTGGACGAGACGCTGACTCTGCTGACAAGACCAAGAGTGTCATGAGTCTTCAACCGACCATTGTAGGCGAGGCATCGTCCGCTATGAAGTGGGTTAAGAAGTACGATAAGGCCTCGATCAAGGACGCTTACATGGCAAACTCGTACGCCGGAAGAGGCACGGACCTGTCTCTGGTCCCCACCGAGGATACCAATGGTCATTACGAGAGCAATGGCGCGGCCCAAGGTTCTGCAAAGGCCCCTGAGCCACCGATGAAGGAAGCTGCGCCAGCGCCAGAACCCCAGCCTGCTGCTCCTGCTCCTGCTCTTGCTTCTGTCCCAGCAAGCCCCGTCCCGCAGAGAAAGCCCGTGGGGTCATCTGTGCCTGTCAATCCCGTGTCAGCGGCAACTGAGCCCAGTCAGCCTGTGGTGCCCGAGCCCCATGAGCAGCCAGCGCTTGTGCAAGATTTGCCGGAGCAGCCCGAGTCTGCGCCTGTGCCAGAGCCTGAGGCCCAGCCGCCACCACCTCCAAAAGACAACCCCGTGGAAGAGCTTCCTGCACCTGAGCCGGCAGTTGTAGTGACCGAGAGCGGTAAGAAGAAACCCAACAAGGGATTCCGAAAGCTGTTTAGCCGCAAGAACCGTGGTTCCAAGCTGCCAGATAATGCTGCTGCCGATGTCAACGAGATGCTCCGCAAGGATGCTCAGACCCCGACCCAGCCAACGACAATACAGGAGAACGAACCTGCGTCTGTGGCTGAGCCTACGCTCGAGATGCCAATGAGCGATGAAGCGCAAAGGCCCCATGACGGCGACGAACTTTCACGCGTCAACACGAAGGATGCAGCAGAGGCTCAGGCGGAATTCTCTCGCTTCGACCAGGGACCTCTCCAGGACCAGCCGGCATTTGTGCCAGACGACGATGCCGCGAGCGACGCTACGCCCCGATCCATCACTCGCCGTGCGCCTAACCGCAATGGAACGTCCATTAAGAGTTCGCATGAGATTATGAGCGAAGAGAAACTAGCACAGAGCACCAGTCCCGGCATCCAGGATCGTTGGGCTCAAATCCGCAAGAACGCGGCGGAGCGCGCTGCCCAGTACCAGCGCCCCGAGGATGAACTCTCTAGCCGGGGCCCCGAGAGGAAGCACTCTGGCCATGACGAAGATGATGACACCAGCGCAGAGGAGAGTAAGTGCTGCGCCACACACGTGTTCCTCAACTCCATCTAATCTCTCCACAGCCATCGAGTCCCGCGTTGCTCGCATCAAGGCCCGTGTCGCCGAGATTACAGGCACGATGGAGGGCGTCCAGGGTCCTACAGGACCTGGAGATCGAACACCACAGCCTTCCCGCAGCCCTCAGGCAACAAGCCCTGCCGCTGAGTAGAGTGCACGGCGGCTTTCCGTTGTGGACTCTCGGCAGCAGCAACTTTCGCCGTTCAAGCGATCAACCCAATGGTTTCGTCTTCTAATTCAAGTCTGATCCGTCCCCTGCGCCCCATGTTATTTTCACGCTCAGGTTCAACGAACGATATACCAATCTGCTTTCTTTTCTTACATACCAACAATCCCAGCTCATGATACCACTAGAGAAAAGTACAGCATCCGGAGCAGCGGCAGGTAGCAGTCAAAGTCTTCTTGGGCTAGTTGAGATACCCTACTATTTGGTTCAAGGGTGGTTGTTTTTCCCACGGGAGCAAAAGGGCCTGGAGCCTGAAGCTGCATTTTCTTTTTTTGTACCTATAGGCAATGCTTTGAGCCGAACGGATACCACGACGGTTGGCGAAGCAAGCGCGAAAGAGTCAAACCTAATGCAATTTTCCAAGTATCCAATACTCTCAAACATTATGAGACTTTACGGAATGCGTTCATCGGGATACACTCTGACCATTACATTGTGACAGGTCCGAAAAGAGACCTATGCTCTGGTGCCCGTGCCATCCTGCAGTTTATCCTAGGCCAAGAACAGCCTTGATCTACAAGCCTCCATCGACGCCTTGCAAGCTCGTGGGCGGTATCCAGGTGTCAAGAGGGGATGTCGTTCGTAAATCGTGGTTGCATTAGTTGTGTTTGCCGTTGTGAGATTTATGGACTACCATCGTCTTGCATGGTGATTCTATGGAACTCCTCATCGTCAGACATGGTTGATGTGGGCGTCATTGGACGGCCGTTATCCCGCACGCGGCTCTCCTGGTCTGTTGGCACCGTACCGTCCGGACGAGGCGGGAGAGGGGGGTTCTCCTGTTGCGTCTGCTCGCTCTTGGGCTGGTTCGCTCCACCCTCAGACTTGGGGTCCAACGCAGGAGAAGAGATGTTAAGCCCACGCAGGTCATCTGTCACATCTCCCTTGGGAACCGCCTTCCTTGGGATGGTGTGGGTCTTCTTCTCGTCGTCTCGTTCGCCATCCAGGTCCACTAGCTTGCCCTCGGCATAGTCGTTCTTCATCTGGATGACCTCGTCCTTCTCGATCGTGTTGCTTGCTTTGATACCGACAAAGGCGCACTTGCGCAGAATCTCACCCGTGAGCTCGGGGTACCGCTGGTGCCCACTAACAACGTCGCTCAGGTCCAGGTTCTCAATGCCATCGACATTCTTGATGGCTTGCAGTCCCGCGACACCCATGTGTAAGCTGTACATGCGATACACAAAGCCTAGGATCATGTCGTTTTCAGAGTACACGTTGAAGATCTTGCCCGACACCACGGTGCGCAAGGTCCTCCAGTGGGAGGAGGCAGCCGGTGCTGGCGCGCCTATAATGACGACGCTCTCGATAAGGCCAAATGCGCGACGCTCGGCGAGAGCTTGGAGGCATGCATGGATGGCGGCCGCTCCCAGTGAATAGCCAATGAGCGTGACGGGCCGTTCACCCTGTACCTTGTTGATAAGAGCATCAGCTAGTAGCTTGCCCGCCTTTCGCGAGCGGTTGAGACCTTGGCTGAAGGGGTTGTCGACATTGGAGGCGGCGGCGAGGACCTGGATCGGCCACAGCGCGGCCCAAAGGGTGGCAAACACTGTGCGCTTGATGACTTCTGACTTGAACGTGTTCCATGCCGCGGACTTGACGAGGTCGCGGAAGGCTGTCCCGAGGTTGATGAGGGTTTTCAACTCATACCGGAGGGCAAAGACTTCAGTCTCTGTGCTCAGAGCGCGCCAGGGCTTGACAATATCCGCTTCTTCGTTGAGCCATCCGTTGATGCCGATTGTTAGTCGGAGGCGGCGGCTCTGTTGTTGGTCTTTGGTTTCTTGGGAGTAGTCCTTGCCCCATTCCTCCTGAAGGGGGATGAATTTAAAATCCTCCACTTCTTTGGCATACTTGTCCATCATTTCACCCTGGGTTGCGATCAGCCACAGCTACAAGAGGTCCCCATGTAGAACTTACCGTCATCTTGGCGCCATATGCGCCGAATAGCGCCCCGACCAATGCGCCATTCATCCAAAATATGCCCAGGAAACTGGCGACACCCCCGAGGCCTATGCCACCGAGGACGCCACCCAAAGCGCCAGCTACAAGAGGCGCGGCCAAACCACCTGTGACGCCGATGACAGCGGCTCCGGCGACTGAAGCAAGGCCAACCTTCCAGTAGCGGCCGAACTTGTTCTCGTGTCGCCTCTTGGCGGCCTCTGTCTCGGCAGACATGGTCGCTTGCTTGTCCTTCTCGTCCACGTTGGACGACTCCATCAGCGTCTTGGCAATCTCGGTCTCCTCGTGGATGACAAAGGTTTGCGGAAGCTCCAGAGAGGATGCGAGATACAAGCCCAGTACGCGCGAGTGCGCCGAGTACTTGCCTGTCGAGAGCAGCAGAAGGAGTACGCAACTAAGCGCCTCCTTTCTATCCCTGATGGAGGACGAAGTGAGGTTCGTGGGCAAAGGTTGGTACAGCATCTGCAAAGCGTAAAAGTCCTCCGACTTGTCCGCCTTGGCGTCGCCAAAGCTCATGAGATCTTCGCCCTCTTCGGCATTGTCGACGCTTCGCTTCTGCAGCTCCTGGGCGCGCTTCTTACGCTCCGCGACAATCTTGGCGTCGTCTTCGGCGCTGACAATCTCGCCAAGCTTCTCAATGAACTCCTGCTGCCACTCTGCCATGTGCTGGACGGCCGCCTTTTGGATGCGGATAGCTTCCTTGGAGGCCTTTTCGCTGGACTTGGGCTTGGCTTGCTCTGCCGCTGGCTTGGGGGCCCGGGGCTGCTGCTGCTGCTCGTCGTCATTCTGGGGTTGGGGGGTCTGCGATCCGCTTGAGGATTCGTCCTCAGTGGTAATGGGGCCGAGGTCATTGGATTGTGAGTCTAGTTCTGCGATCATGCGCGTGGTAATCTCGGTGACGAGGCGGAGAAGAGCGCGCCTGCGCGCTGGCTCCAGGTTGATGACGATCTGTCGGGGGTCAGAGCAGAGGGGTGCCATGCTGGCCAGGTAGGGAGTGAAGGGTGAGCTGGTACTCTACAGGTGTAGGATATTGTGAGGTTTCCGGGAATGAGGTTCGATAATTACCAGGTAAGGTATGGATGTGATCTGGCAGCCTTCTGTGAAGCGTACGTACACCTGGCCCTCCCTGAGAGCCAAGCTGCGTGTAGCTGCACGTCATTGCTGAACGCTGTGCCGCGCTACGGATCGGGCAGTGGCAATGATCAACAGCATGGTGATGTATTGTCTGCGACACATATAAGAGATTCCGAGCTAGACCTTGCTCATTTGACACAACTTAGACCTGGGGGTGTTGAGTCAATTGAGCAAAGGAAGTTTGACTACTGGTAAAGGTAAAGTTTTGTCATAGTCGCAGTGATGTTGCACGACGGGACGAGACTCCGCGGACCATCGCCCGCAACCCGAGCAATAATCTGATGGTACATTGAGTCACTGACACTTGTTCTTGAAATGTATCTAACTTCCCAAGACTATACCAGATTGATAATTTGTCTATCGAATTTCCCGCATTACGTGACATGGATCTTCGAAATCATGTGTAGGGTAAGCATTGAGCACCAGACAATTCACCATAACTTACGTCTGTTAGACAAGGGTCCAGGTAGCCCCACCTGAATTTTATCCGTCAGGCCAAACAGCAACTTTTCCACCCAGCATCACGAAACAAAACGCGACAAACTACCGCTTTACGCCATGGATGCGCATGCCCTGCTCTCGTCGCAAGGATGGCGCGGCCACGGTCACTCTCTCCACAAGACGTCCGACTCGATCGGCTTGTCGAAACCTCTCCTCCTCAATCGCAAAGACAACACCAAGGGTCTCGGCACCTCGTCACACTTCAATGCGGACCAGTGGTGGCTCAACGCGTTTGATGAGCAATTGAAAGGCTTGGAGACCAGCAAAAAGGGCCAGGTGAAGCAAATGATCACCACGGGCAAGCTCAACACCGTCGACGTTGGCGGCCTTGGGAAATACTCTGTGTACAACTCCTTCGTCAAGGGCGGCTTCCTCAACGGCACGGTGGATCTTCTCAAGAAGCAAGCGGAAGACAGCACCGGAGGCGACTCGCATATGAAGAAAAAAGAGACAAAGGAGGAGCGCCGGCAACGGAAAGAGGAGAAGAGACAGCGCAAAGAGCAACGTGCAGTCCGACGAGAAGCACGTCATGCGCAGCGAGCTGTCCGCAAAGAGGCGCGTCGGAGAATGAGAGAGATCCGAAGACAAGCCCAACAGGAGAAGAGGGCGGCGAAGATAGATAAGAGGAAAAAGGAGGCGAGCTTGGACAAGTCCAGCGAAGAATCGTCAGGGGACGTCATCGAGGACGAGAAGCGCTTGCGGCGAGCAAAGAAGGGGGCAAAACGTAGGAAGCGCGCGACTGAGAACTAGCGAGTGTTGACATGAGGCCTGCACGAGAGGTGGGTGGGCGCATTGATAACGGCATAGAGATCACGATTAGACGCATCGCAAGGAGTTCTTGGTCATGACAGAACATGGGAGTCTACGACCTCTCAGTACAGTGCACTTGGAATTTATTATACCTCTTTTGGGATTTTGCCTGGTTTATTTGACAAAATCCACGGTCTCCTGTCCCAGAACTCATCCTTGATGATGTCCAAATGATCCACCATAATAGCGGCCTTGGATCGGCGCCTTTTGTCATTTTCCGTCTGCTTCTTGGATTGTTGGACGGGCTCAGCTTGCGCATCGACGGTCTCCGCCGTGTTGTGACTCGCGGGTTCGACCAGCTCGTACTGCACATCTGTCAGCGGCGTTACCAGACAAGTGCCGCGGTGACTTACATCACGGAAGATGACGCTTCCCTTTTTGAAGATTTCGGGTTCGCGGTTGTAGTTGATGCCGAATTTTGAGAATAAGATCTCGTTCTTGTCAGCGGCCAATGTGCCCTGCGCTGTTAGCGTTGAGCGAGTGCCGCAGGTTGGACGTGGCTTACAGCGAGGGCCTGCTCTGCCTCCTTATTTTCCATACCGCCGAGTTGAATAAGGGACCAGAAGGCTGTGTTGTATAGATTGTTGATGTGACCTGTCCATGTAAGTGAAAAAGTCTCTTGGAAGACTTAACACACTTACAGTCGGCTTGCCGCCAGCTCAGGTAGTCACGCAGATTCTGGACGGTAGGGTACACCACGGCTCGCCCGTCGAACGTTGGCAGGGGGAAGGATAGCGGAGTGTCCGGGAAGTGAGAGGACCAAGAGTAGACGTAGTTGGACGTGAACGTAGATACGACCGTGCTGACGAGCTTGCTGTCTGTCGTGAGCGAGTGCGGCACGTGTCTGGCATTGTACCTACCTGGCTCGCCGCTCGAACAGATTTGTTGATTTATGAAAAACGAAGCTTAAAGAATAAGTATCACGCCAACGTGGCACAACAAGAAGACAATACCTGTACTCGTCGCTGACGCCATAGGCCAGTGTGATTTCTGGCAGATCTGCAATGACTGCTTTGGCAGCCGTGTTCATGAGATCTAGCGCTCTGCGGTCATTCGGTTTCTCGAACCTGTACTTGGCACACATCCTACGGAGAATCAGTAATGAAGAGTCTATGTAGTGTGTGAAATGAATACTTTGTAAAGGCTCTTCCATCTACGCGGACTACTATCCAAGTATTCGGCAGCAGGGGGTCTGGCTGCTCAAAGTTGCGCACATATTCGAATCTGATGGCGATGAATGTCAGACACGTATTGTCTAGCCGCTGGATTGGTCTTACCTTGAGTTCGCCATGGTGCAGATGTTCGGTGTAGTGAACGTTGTATAGCTCGGAGCCCGGCTAGGTAGGTCTTGCTTCAGCCCAAGAGGAAAATGTTACTGCATCTTCACAGGATGCTACGTTAGGTGGGGGACACCCAGGCCTATGTCCCCCATATCCTCACCCCCAGGAGTGCGCCAGCGCAAGTGGACCCCAAAGATTCAGCCTTGCATGAGCCGACTGTTCACGAGCGCGGTTGCCCGCGGCTGCCCCTCGAAATCTTTAGCTTTCCCATGCCACAGTCATTGACATGCGCCCGACCTACTCCATTGCATCCTGCTTAAATTGATTTGTCAAACATACTCCGCCAAGATGAATCTCTTATTATCCGATGATTACCTCTTGCAGGATTACCCCGAGACCATCACAAATTGGATTCGGTCAGGGCGCACCACGATGATCCGTTTCGACTACAAGGGCGATTTTCTGGCGAGCGGACGAGCTGATGGCGTCGTTGTCATCTGGGATATGGAAACAATGGGTGTCGCGCGCAAGCTGAGGGGCCACAAAGCTGTCATCACATTCCTCTGCTGGTCGCGCTGCGGCAGGTACCTGTTTTCGACCTGTCAAGGGTGGAAAGGGATACTCTGGGACCTTGAGGATGGCAGTCGGCTACGAGAGATTCGTTTCGAAGCGCCTGTATACATGGGTATGCTCCATCCATGGAACCAGTAAGTCTCGTACGCAAGCACGCAGCGGCAGCGCTCTGACCAGTCCAGTTTCCAGGTCGTGGTGGCGCTCTTTGCCAAACAGCCTTGCCTTGTCGACATGACCGATGGCGTCGATACGAAATATACCTTGTTGTCCGCGCCGAAACGGCCAGAAGGAAAGGTGTCCGAGAAAGAGATTAAAGCAGACGCCGACGAAACCACGACCTCGGCGATATGGACGTTGACTGGTGACCATATTCTGGCGGGTACCGTCAGAGGCTGGATCAACATCATCGACGCATCTTCACGTGAAGTGATCTACTCCGAAAAAGTCTGCTCAGGCGCCGTCACCTCCATGCGTCTCACAAGCTCGGGGCGTGAGCTGCTGATTAATTCACAAGACCGTGTGATTCGCACATTTCGCGTTCCCGACCTGTCTGCAGAGAACCTGGACCTCGATACGATACAATTTGCACTCGAGCACAAGTTCCAAGATGTCGTAAACAAGCTCGCGTGGAATAATGTCACGTTCAGCGCCACGGGGGAGTACGTGGCCGCCTCTGCATACAACAATCACGAGCTCTACGTGTGGGAGAGGAACCGCGGCAGTCTGGTGTGTATGCTCAAGGACCCAAAGGAAGAGCAAGGCGTGATCGAGTGGCATCCGTCAAAACCAGTCGTCGTGGTGTGCGGCATGGAAACGGGACGCATATACATCTGGTCGGTCGTCAGCCCGCAAAAGTGGTCCGCGCTGGCACCAGACTTTGCCGAGGTGGAGGAAAATGTCGAGTACATTGAGCGGGAGGACGAGTTTGACATTTACAACCAGGAGGAGATTCACCGACGGAGACTGGATGCGGAAGACGAGGAGGTGGATGTCATGACACCAGATCCAGCCTCGAAAGCCATGTACAACGGCGACAGCTTTCGGATGCCGGTTCTCTTCGACGTGGGCAAGAGTGACAGCGAGGAGGAGTTTATCGAAGTGTCTACCGGCACCATGCGGCGTCGCAGTCCGGGCGATGGGCAAGACGATGATGACGACGGAGGCACCGTCAAGAAGGCCACGGGTAAGGGAGGTCGCAGGCGGAAGGTGTAGTGCGCGCCTGTGAATAACGACGTTATGATGGATGATTTAAATGACAGTTCTTTGGTTGAAACAGCTTGGTCGAAGCTTTGATGCAGAAGCGCATCTCTATATCAAGCAAGGACACCGGCAGCATGACTTGTATTTATTTTCTCACGATATAACGAGAAATGGCCCAGGTTAGGAAGACAGCCTCCCGTACTATTGTGTCATTTTCGCGTGGAACTATTATATGTACTTCCGTAATACAATAGGAATACGTACCGTACGAACCACGGCCCTCTTCACGGCGTGTACGGAGTAAAGCCTCGCATTTAGCAGACTCATGCTTGCAGGGTAGGGAGAATTATCTATTCAATTTGCAATATTACGCGGAGTATAAATTGCGCCCTCAACATTATAACTTCGATGGTTGATGCTGCATGAGGTGCAATGAGTCAGTCGGCATGGCCGACAGCGAGTGAAACGAGGAACAAACAGGCTGGGATATGGTCGACAAAATACTAGAGCCAGAAGGTGACGCTTTAGGCGCGCATAGAGCTCAATTCTTAAAGTCAGATGCTCAAACAGCGGGCACCGGGGGCCAATCAAACTGCAAGGGCGCGTGAACCCGAAACGGTTTAGCGGCCCATGGACGTGTGGCGTGGCCGCCCTTTGTCAGGCAGACCAGCTGGAGAAGATTCTCTCATGCGTTCGCCCTGACATCCAACTCTGCAAACCTCTGCCGACCCCCCCACGATCATCACGACACGCGCCGAACACCCGGCGCAACGTCAAGGCGACGTCCACGCGATACTTTCGAACACGAGAAATCCGATCCTCGAATTTGCGTACCTCCGAAGCTGGCGACGACGGGGGAGACTAGCCCGAGGTTCTCCTAGGCCGACGGCCAGGGCAGGCAGGCAGGCGTTGCTGCACGGGCGCCATCCGCCATCTATCGCGACGCGGGAAATCCATCAATCGAAGGATATCTGGCGATTCATTTCCTGTCATTCTCGACTATTTCTTCTCTTTTTCAACCGTAATCGGCGCACGCAGCTGTCTAGGCGCGCCTGAACACCCACAACCGCCACCATGGCGAACCTCTACTTCACGTACTCGAGCGCGCCGCTCAAGACGGTGGAGGAGATCCAGTTCGGCCTCATGTCTCCCGAGGAGATCAAGAACATGAGTGTCGCGCACATCATCACACCAGAGACCATGGAGGAGAACAAGATGACGCCGCGTGATGGTGGCCTCAACGACCCTCTGCTCGGCTCCATCGATCGACAGTTCAAATGTAAAACTTGCACCTCGGCCATGGGCGAGTGCCCCGGTCATTTCGGTCACATCGAGCTCGCAAAACCCGTCTTCCACCCTGGCTTCATCAAGAAAGTCAAGAAGATACTCGAGATTGTCTGCCACAACTGCAGCAAAGTACTTGCCGATGAAGTTGGTCTCACCGGCCCTAGAATGTACCTGCTCCTTAGATGCTAACACATCGTGTTTCCAGAGCGATCCCGACTTCGTAGCTGCCATTCGTACGCGAGACCCCAAAGTTCGCTTCCAGAGGGTATGGGCAACTTGCAAGAAGAAGAAGCAGTGCGACAACACGGAACGCGATTCAAAGAAGGACGACGAGTTTGCTCCGGGCATGAAAATGGCCAAGTTGCCGAGCCATGGAGGCTGCGGCAACGTGCAGCCTGCTGTCCGTCAAGCTGCCCTGCAGCTCAAGGCCTCGTACGAAACAATGTCCGAGGATGGTGTCAAGAAGAAGGATCAACTTCCCATCACCCCAGAGCAGGTACACAGCATTTTGCGGCGGATATCGGAGAGGGACATTCGCAATATGGGACTGAACTCTGAGTACGCTCGCCCCGAGTGGCTCGTCCTCACCGTCTTGCCTGTGCCTCCCCCGCCCGTGCGTCCCAGTATCTCAATGGACGGTACGAGCACAGGTATGCGCAACGAGGATGATTTGACTTACAAGCTCGGTGATATCATTCGTGCCAATAGCAACGTGAAGCAGGCCATCCGAGAGGGTGTGCCTTCTCACGTCGCGAGGGACTTTGAGGAGCTTCTCCAGTACCATGTCGCGACATACATGGATAACGATATTGCTGGACTGCCCCGTGCTCTGCAAAAGAGTGGAAGGCCTGTCAAGGCTATCAGGGCTCGTCTGAAGGGCAAAGAGGGTCGTCTTCGTGGCAACTTGATGGGCAAGCGTGTGGATTTCTCCGCACGTACTGTCATCACTGGTGATGCCAACTTATCACTTGACGAGGTCGGCGTTCCTCGAAGCATTGCTCGGACACTCTCGTATCCCGAGGTGGTGACCAAGTACAACATTGACAAGCTGCGACTCTACGTTAGCAACGGCCCCAACGAGCATCCTGGTGCCAAGTACGTTGTTCGCTCAGACGGAACACGCATCGATCTTCGGCATCACAAGAAGTCCGGAGAGCTCACGCTGCAGTATGGCTGGAAGGTTGAACGCCATCTGGTGGACGGCGACTATATCATTTTCAACCGCCAGCCCTCCTTGCACAAAGAGTCCATGATGGGGCATCGCGTCCGCGTCATGCCTTACTCTACTTTCCGCCTGAACTTGTCGGTCACATCGCCCTACAACGCCGATTTCGATGGTGACGAGATGAACTTGCACGTGCCTCAGAGCGAGGAAACTCGAGCAGAGGTCAAGGAACTGTGTCTCGTTCCCCAAAACATCGTCTCCCCACAGAAGAACGCTCCTTTGATGGGTATCGTTCAGGATTCGCTCGCTGGTGTTTACAAACTGTGCCGCAGAGACGTTTTCCTCACCAAGGAGGAGGTCATGAACTTTATGCTGTGGGTTCCTAATTGGGACGGCGTCATCCCTCAGCCGGCTATCCTCAAACCTCGCCCTCGTTGGACCGGCAAGCAGCTCATTAGCCTTGTCATCCCGCCAGAGGTCAGCATCTCTGCTGGTGGCTCGGATTACAAATCGCTACTTAGGGACGAGTCTTTGCTCATTCAGGGCGGCCAGCTGATCTACGGGTTGTTGAAGAAGAAGCACGTTGGTGCGCAGGCTGGCGGTATCATTCACATCTGCTACAACGAACTCGGACCCGCCTCCGCCATGGCCTTTTTGAACTCTGTTCAACAAGTAGTTACCCACTGGCTGCTGCACAACGGTCACAGTATCGGTATTGGTGACACAATTCCCGACAAGGCCACCATTGACAAAATCCAATTGGACATTGACGATGAGAAATCCAAGGTTGCCTCCCTGACAGCCAAGGCTACGGCCAACGAACTCGAGGCGCTGCCTGGTATGAACGTTCGTGCCACTTTCGAGCACGAAGTCGGTGTCGCCCTCAACAGGGCTCGTGATCGCGCTGGTACTACCACGCAAAACAGTCTGAAGGATTCCAACAACGCCGTCACCATGGCCAACTCTGGGTCCAAGGGTTCTTCCATCAACATCTCGCAAATGTCCGCGCTTGTGGGCCAGCAGATGGTGGAGGGAAAGCGTATTCCTTTTGGTTTCAAGTACCGCACCTTGCCTCACTTCACAAAGGACGATTATTCACCCGAGTCTCGAGGTTTCGTGGAAAACTCCTACCTGCGTGGTCTCACGCCGAGCGAGTTCTTTTTCCATGCCATGGCTGGTCGAGAAGGTCTGATTGACACAGCCGTCAAGACAGCCGAGACTGGTTACATTCAGCGTCGTCTTGTCAAGGCGCTGGAAGATCTGAGCGCGCGCTATGACGGCACTGTCCGCAACTCTCTGGGCGATATCATTCAGTTCCTGTACGGTGAGGATGGCCTCGATGCTATGTGCATTGAGCAACAGAAGATGGGCTTCCTCAACCCATCCGATGCCAAATTTGCCGAGAAGTATCAGTTGGATCTCGCCAATCCTCCAGAGTGGTTCAAGCGAGACTATGAGTATGGTGACGAGTTGCTCGGCGACAATGAGTCGATGAAGCTGCTTGACGAGGAGTGGGAAGCCCTATGTGAGGATCGCCAGTTGGTCCGCAAGATCAACAAGATGAAGAAGGATGACGACATGATGCAGCTGCCACTCAACCTGAACCGTATCATCGAATCAGCCAAACGTATCTTCGGCGTCAAAATGACAGACCGAAGCAACCTGCGACCGACCGATGTCATCCCGACTGTGCAGAACCTTCTGAAGAAGCTGGCAATCGTCCGCGGCAGCGACCCCATTTCGCAGGAAGCCGACTACAACGCCACTATTCTGTTCAAGGCTCTTGTAAGGCACCGTCTTGCCTTCAAGGACCTTGTCAAGGTGCACCGTCTCAACAAGCTGGCCTTTGATCACATCATCGGCGAGCTTCACAACCGTTGGGATCGCGCCTTTGTCAGCCCCGGTGAAATGGTTGGCGTTCTTGCCGCGCAGTCCATTGGTGAGCCGGCGACACAGATGACTCTGAACACATTCCATTTCGCTGGTGTGTCGTCCAAGAACGTCACCCTTGGTGTGCCGCGTCTCAAGGAGATTCTCAACTTGGCTAGCAACATCAAGACCCCTGCCATGACAGTCTTTGTGAACCAGACGTTGGCCAAACAGGAGCAGGCCAAGAAGCTTCGAAGTCTGGTTGAGTATACCAACCTGCGCTCGGTCACCGCCATGACTGAGATCCATTATGACCCTGATGTTCGAGGCACCAAGATTGAGAGTGATGCGGACATGGTCGAGTCTTACTTCATGATCGAGGAGGAAGGCCAGGAGCTGGTGGATCAGCAGTCCAGATGGCTTCTTCGCATCACCTTGGACAGACAAAAGATGCTTGACAAGGAGATTCGTGTGGAAGACGTTGCTGCTCGCATCAAGGAAGAGTACGCTGCCGACCTGGGCGTCATCTTCAGTGACAACAACGCCGACGAGCAGGTCATCCGCATCAGGACCATTCAGCAAGACGGTGGTAAGGATGAGGATGGCGAGAAGAAGATTGAGGACGATGTCATGCTCAAGCGTCTCGAAGCGCATTTGCTCGACACCCTCACGCTGCGAGGTGTTCCTGGCATTGAGAAGGCTTTCTTGACCAAGGGCGTGACACTCAATGTGGCTCCCGATGGTTCCCAGAAGGCCCTCAAGGATGATGTCCACTGCACCGAGTGGTTCCTCGACACCAGCGGTTCCGCTCTCCGCGAGGTGCTCGCTGTGGAGGGCGTTGACGCGACCCGCACATCTTGCAACGACTTGTGGCAGATTGTTGATGTGTTTGGTATCGAGGCCACTCGTTCCGCTTTGCTGCGCGAGTTGGTCAACGTGCTGGCCTTTGACGGTTCCTACGTCAACCACAGGCACATGGCGCTGCTTGTTGACGTGATGACATACCGTGGTGTGATCTCCGCTGTGACTCGTCACGGTATCAACCGCGCCGACACGGGTGCCCTGATGCGTTGCTCATTCGAGGAGACTGTGGAGATCTTGCTGGAGGCTGCTGCCACTGGTGAGTTGGATGACTGCCGTGGTATCTCGGAGAACGTCATGCTTGGCCAGATGGCCCCCATGGGCACAGGGGGTTTCGAGACGTTTTTGGATCCTCAGATGCTGGCGACCGTCATCTCCACATCGGCAGGCGAGGTCCTCAAGCATGGAGCCATCGGCGACCAGGCCGGTGGCATCGATGGCGCTGCCACGCCTTATGCCAACGAGCAATCGCCGCGCGCGGACTCGGGCTACAGCTCGGCTTCTCCCATGGCTGGTAACTTCTCCCCCATCCAGGGTGCTGGCTCGGAGACGCCTACCGGGTTCGGTACGGAATACGGCGGTGGTGGCTTTGGAGGTAGCGTGGCCAGCCCCTACCACCGAGGGGGTCTCGGTGGCGGCATGAGCCCATATGGCACATCGCCAACATCGCCTTTTGCCTCTGGCGGCAGCTACTCGCCCGCGTCTCCCAACATGTACTCCCCCACTTCGCCGTCCATGGCCATGGGAGATGTGGGAGGTCGCTTCGCCGTCACCTCGCCATCCTTCAGCCCAGCATCGCCCAACTTTGGAGGTGGCATGGTCTCGAGTCCCCAGTTCAGCCCGGCCTCGCCCAACTATTCGCCCACGTCGCCTCAGTCGTACTCGCCCACATCACCTGCGATGCATGGGTCCCCCACCTCGCCCACGTACTCGCCTGCCAGTCCGGCTTACAGCCCTCGCATGGGTGGCGCAGGTGGCTCGACGTCGCCGGCATACACTCCTGGGTCGCCCAGCGGATCACCCACGTCGCCGAGCTACTCGCCCACGAGCCCTGCTGCTATGGGCACTGGTCCGTCGCCCACGAGTCCGGCTTATTCTCCTACCTCCCCACAACACTCGCCGATCCACGGCGATGGGAAGGATTCTGGAAAATAGTGAGTCGACATGAATGTTGGGAGAGAGATCTGTTCTATGCTAACATAACCCTCAGCTCCCCTACTGGTTAAGCACCTTGTTTCATACATTTGGTCAGATCCACGAGACACGGGCTGTCTCGACATTTCTTCTCTTTACTTACATCTTTCTGCCGTTGCCATTTCGAGGGCCCATGGTTCGGAGTGTTTTGCATTATAGAAGTTGCAAAAAGAAACAAGAGTTACTCATGCACGGCGTTTGCCCCAAAAAAACCGACGAGAGGTGGAGGGCACGCCAGAAATACATAAATACCCAGACTGAGGTCGTCACCATCGCCTCGCCAAAAACTCACACACAAAAAAAAAAGGCATCGAGAAAAGCAGGGCAACGATCACGATGGGGACGAGACAAAACAACAAAAGAGGCACACGTCACACGTCACATGAGAAAGGGGAAATAGGTACCGCCATTTCCGGGGCAGAACGGCTGGCTGGCTGGCTGGCTCATATTTTAATAGCTGATGTGTACGATAGAAGGAGGAAAGAGGATAGTCGTCGTTGTTGTTATCATGGCTCAGATTGGTATCTCTGCGTGGAAAAGACGGAGCGCAGCAGCAGCAGCAGCATTATCATCATCATCAGCAGTGGAACTTTTCGATAGTGGAACTTGGCCCTATTTACCCCAAGTGTGTGCCTGAGGAGGAGGTTCTTTGTGGGTGACATGTGCTCGTGCGTGTGCTTGAAGTTCTGGATCTGACAATGAGCGTTTCGTCCGCGATGGTCATATCTCTCACTGCATTTGTTGACATCCATATATTATTGTTCGCACCGAGGACAAGGAAGAGGGTCGTTTGCAACATGGTACCTGCGCCACCGAACAATAAGTCATCGCATTTCTATGAAGGAAGGGCATCCTCCTTGCGACGTGTGATGTATCTCTCGTATGGGATGCACCGATCATGCACACTCGACGCACATGCGGAAGTCGTCGCAGCCCGCCAGGCCCCAAGAGGATTGCATCGTCGCATGCATCGGTAATCCCATTCATGCATCTTTCTAGAATCCTGTTCCTGAGCATGGAGCCCCTAGCAGTCTGGGCTGTGCAGTGGACTTGTGCCGGAGTACTTCCCTCCCCCTGGCTGGGGAGGACAATGCTGCTGACCTTTGTTCATCGCAATGTGATTGATAAGGTTGTCCCGCTCATCACGGGGCCGCACAGACAACTCGCCGTTCGCTCACCTATCAAGTGTCACATCGCACCGTCCGTGCAGTTTGCTTGCTTGGCTCTCCGTCTCACCTTGACGCTGCCGCTGCCGCTGCCGCCGCCGTCGTCACACCGTCTGCCGTGTCATACGTGCCGGGCGCGCAAAGGATCCCCTTTTGCAGAGAAAGGTCCCTAGTTGCGTGTATTTGCCCGGCAAATATGAGCAACAGACGGAAGACTCTGGGACGATCGCTTGGTCTCCCGCTCTAGTTACCCTCTCCGCGTGCAACGGGGCGCGCAAACGGGGCGGGAGGACGAATTGAAGCGGCGGCCCGAGGCCAAAGCTCCACGGCAGAGACTGTCAGGTTTTTCTGCAAGCTCGGACGTTTGCTTATCGTCGTCGCTATTGTTGGATCGGCGCTGCCGAACAATGGCAATGGGGGGGTCGCATGGCAAAGGGGGGGGCCGTCTCTTGTGTCAATAAGCAAATCGCGCCATTGACAATGGGACGCCGATCCCCCATAAGCAGAAGCGAGATCTGATCGAACTAATTCAGGCATGGGAGATCCGCCCCCTCCCTCCAGGCCAGTGCCCCCCCTTTTGTCCGTCTCCGTCCCGTCACATGACGAGATGCAGCTGCGAGAGTGCAGGCGTAGCGCCATGCATGATGGGACGCCCTGGTCAGGCAATCCCTGAATCTCTCTGCCCATGTAAGAGGGACATGGGAGCATCGTGGTCGGTCCATCAACTTGCGAGGGCGCAACATACAAGGAGCTGAATACCATATAGAAGCATGGTGATGCTTCTGTGCAGTGAAGTGACTGCCAAGTCCACGGGGGGGCTGAGCAGATGGAAGTTACGCACTGGCCGGCTGACGTCTGTCGTGGTCCAAGTGCCGTATCACGGACCGCTGCCGGCGCCGTGCTACGGCCAGCCTGAGACGTCTGGCGACGTGCCGCATGGTCCACCCGCTTGAATGCCGCACTGTCAGAGTCACCCCGGACGAACACTGTCTACGGTGAGCACTTGCATGAGCATGGTGGCCTGGCAGGAGTCGACGTTGGACAGTCCCGGGTACAGGGCGACGGCGTACATGTCAGAGTTGATGTGGTATTACACTGAGGTGAACTTGCAATCGCCAAGGACGGAAGTCTTGCATATGAGGTATCCTTGGAGTCCACCGCTTGTCGATTCTGCCTCGTCTAAGCGCGCCAGGACTGTCATCCCACAGGGTGGCCGCCAATTGCAGGCTTCTTTCATCCAACGGGCATTTCGTCATGGCTTTGCGTGCGAGAAGAACCACCCTCGTTGGTCAAGCAAACCCTTGACTCCCTTGTGAAATGCAGGAGGTCGCCCAGGAGGCCAGGCGGCCGAGTATGCGGCCAGGTGGCCGCATGGCTAGCCAGGCACAATTGTCGGCAGACTACTTCAGCCATCACAAACCGCAAATGAATCATGGTCAAAGAGACAAACGTAAAGCATCCAAAGAGCAAGTGTAAAGGAGTGAATTAGACCCAAGACGCAAGGCGAAACGTGTGCTGACACAGTCTTCTAAGATTCCAGACCACCAAGCAGATCCTCGTAAAGGCGTCCCCAAAAAGAAGTGAAAATCGTTCAACATGTCGCGAGACCACAAAAAAAAATAATAAAAAAAAGGAAAGAGAAGGAAGAATTTGCCAGGTCCGCCTTCGTCGTAGATAGGGCCACAGCAGTGTCCATCTGGGTTCCCGACCCATCGTACAGGCGTGTTGCGACCCAAAACCACTTGGGACCTGGGCTTTCGGACTTTGAGCGTCTTCAACATGAATTGGTGAGGCTCGTCGGAAGCACATCATAGCTTCGTGTGGCGCCCCTTGATGCTTGGGGGAGGAGGCGGTGGTCTAGCGCAGACTCTCGGTCAGTAATTGCTCTGTCTAAGCGGAGAATACGACAGACCTACTGCTGCCCTGCTTTGGGGCATTGGGGTCGACCGCAATAGCCTGTCCAAGTTCTGGCGGGAACGTATTCGGTCTTGGAACACGTGCAAGCGGCTTTTGGCGTGGATGTTTCAAGAGTGCAGCCACACGCCGTCCAGTGCTCGGTGCTGATATAGAAACACATGTTTGCGAAAAAAGTCTTGCTTGGTATGAAGAAACTGTGGGCTTGGTCAGGATGTGCGCCTATGCCGTGACCGACGGGGGAATCATACCAGATGACTAGTTCAAGATTCGGATCGAGGGATGGATTCAAGTGTAATTCCGCTGCTGTAGAGATAATGGATACCGAGAGACTGAGGAGACCGCGAGATGAGAAGGCATCAAGAGCTGTTATATAGCCAGTGAGTGACACGGGCCCGTAGGTCTGGGCGTTGGATGGAGGTTCCAGGAAGGTATGCTGCCCCCTCTCATTGCCACGACTTTCCAGCAACGACGGGAAGGGGGTAAGTTAGTGATCACGAATTTTTCCTGTTCCACTGTGCGAGATGGACCGACCGCCTGCAGTGGCCGTCGTTGGTTGAACGCGCTTAAGCGGCTGTCAGTGATTGCCGGCGAGATGAAGAAATGGAGGGCGTTGGTCCGGCCGCGTCGATGGGAGGGCAGGCTGCGGTGATTCCCGCGGTGCAGCACGCATGGACCGTCAGCCGGACACCAACAAGTGATGATGACCAGTTTGGATTAGGTAGGCGAGCAGTTGCCTACCGTTGGCGGAAGACGCGGGCGCATGCAGAGCCTGGCACGCAATTCCGCATGGCAAAGCCTAAGGTAGATACGTAACCTAGTATCCCGTATGTATGCTGCTGCGTGGGTTGATGACTAGACGCGAAAAAAATGGGGGGAGCCAACACGCGCGAGATGATGATGGGATGGATGTTGATGGAAATTGTGACTCGGGCCCCTTTGGTGTCTGCTGCTGCTGCACCTCGTCTGTTGGCTGCACCGGGGCCCGGGGGGGCCATGGCATGGCATGGCATGGCATGGCATGGCATGGCATGGCATGGGGCATGTCCAGCACCTGCCCAGAGCTTCCACGCCAGGAAGATGCTTTCAAATCGGGTCTTTCAGCGTGCCTGAGCCCGTGCGGGAGCAACCAAGCGCGATGCCGCTGGTGAGCAGCTTCACTGCGTACTTTTGGCCTCTGCGTGTGTTCCTATGCACCATCACGACGTGAACGGGGTCGCATGCGCCTGTTGGAAGAACCCACGGGTTCCATGTGTACCGGGCAAATTGTCTAGCGTGTGTACCTGCACATCCACGGGACGACGGTTGCGTCGGTAGTGCAATGGGGGGCTGCAGTGCTCGTTGCCGTCTCGCATTCAGTCAGGCCCATCTTGTCACGCTGTCGAAAGAGTTTTGCTGTGCATATTCCATGTTGGCCATGTGCCACAGGCGACGCCGGTTCAAGGCCAGCTCCGCAAGGGGATGGAGGATGCAGCCTAGCACGCACATGCCCAAGTGTGACTGACTGACTGAATGACTGACTGTCTACGCGTGGTTACGCAGCATCTGTCAAGCTAATTTGGCATGGACGGGATAGCCGTCTCCTCCGCCAACAAGCTTGGCTTGGGGACACCACGATCGTGTTGAATTGGTCACCCAACAAGTGTGTCGCATAGGTACGTATATTGCCATTGCGTCCATGGTACGGATACAACAACAAGTGGAGCCATCCCGTCGGAAAGGCGCCTGCTATCGAGACATTGCGAGCCGTGACGTGAGCCCGCATAACTAGATCAGTGCCAGTGTGAGCAGAAGGCAAGACAAGGCACAGATCACTGATAGAACTGGAAAGCAATATGTCCACCAAGGGGCGGCACAAGGCTCAGTCAGGCCCCGAGGCTGCCACTCAAGGCCCCTTTGGAGGCCGATTCGCAGTGGCAGGGCTGATCGGTTGGGCCCGCGCCTACCTTTGT